ACGCATCAATCGCAGGAGCACCGGGCGACGTAGATCTGGGCCTCCTTGGGGGTTCGCCCCTAGGGCTAGGCGTACGCCGCTTGTCCTGCTCCCGATTCCTGGGAGAGTACTTGTCCCTTCGATGAGGACTTGGGGTATTACCGGTCCTCTTCCTTGGATCACTAGGAGGCCGATTAGGCCTATGGGAATCTCCAAACGGAGATCGTCTCCTGACGGGAGGACCAGGAGCACCAGGTTTCTGGGCTCTGTCCCTGGACTGAGATCGTTCGTAAAAGTCTTTGTGCATATTGACCTGATTCTTTCGAACCCTCCAGCGGTCAATTTCGTTCTTACAACGAGCACGAAGCCATTCATAGCTACAAACATCAGGGTTGGATATGTTCCTATCCCATTCCCTGATATCATGAGCCAAACAGTTGAGGTGTCTAACCTTCTCACTGAATAGCGACCGCTTTACCTGCTCGGTCAGCGGTTCATCGAGACCCGCAAGGATGTGATCCCACTTCGCGATGAACCTTTCAAGTCGCTCCTCTTCAGTATAGAAAGATGAAACACTGCATCGCAAGTTTGAGAGCTCAATTATCCTGAATGATTGCTCTCCGATATTTGCAGTCCTTAAGTGGTCGTATAAGAGCCACAGGATCTGCCTACTCTTGATGCGATTGTTGGAACGTTGAGCGGCTTCGGTGAGACGATTAATCTTATCGATAATTGCAACAGTCTTGATGCACTTCCGGATGGCTGCATTGAACCTGGCTTCAAGGATGTGGTATTTACATTCCCCATCCAGTTCATCAAAGGTCTTTGCCTTCTCGACTTCAGTTAGCCAATTGATGACGTAAAGTCCATCATAGCTGTAGGCATTGCTAACAGCTTCCTTCATATTGGCTATCCATACCCTCAGCCCAGCCGCGTCGGGCTCTGGCGGGAGGTCTATGGGAATGCACTTAGTCGCAGCTGTACAGTTCGGATCATGGTGGCTACTGTATCCGCCGCCACCAGTTCCGAAAAGATGCTGTGGAACCTGAGAACTACTGATTGACAGTGCACATACAGGGCAAAGGCGAGTAGCCTTTGGAATGCAAATCTCACATGCCCTTTTCATGCATATCTTACATTCCCCAATTTTGCTGGGGTCAGGAATATCCCGATCACACATCCGACAGTTCTTGTCAGGAGGATCGGGGCCACGCATGGTCGGCGGCTCAAGGCCTGAAGGATCCTTCGGCCTTGTACCGTTGGGATCAAATCCTGGATAATATCCGGTTTCACGTTTATCCAGGGGCACGGGTTGCGTAGCCTTCGGAGGGCTCTGAAGGTCAGCCGCGTTGGGTTGACCCCCAGTGGGAGTGTCACGGAATCTGTCAACGGGTGGCCGCAGAGGCGGCGAGTACGACCGCGTCGGGTTCGTCTCAGGTGCGCCTCCAGGAGATCTATTCCTGACACGGTTACCATCGGGATCCCTTCTTCTCCTAGTTTCGTCCCTAAGGCACGCAAGACAACAGGGACCCTGGACAAATCCAAATCTTCTGTAGTCATCCTGCCCAGCAGAATGTCTGGTGCAGTAGTAGGTCCTACAAAACTGACACTCGATTCCCTTGGTCAGGAACGAGCTCTCCCTACAGACACCGCATCGGGGTCCGTTACGGGAACATTCTTCACACAAGTTCTCTTTGAACGAGAAACAATACTCACAAATATCACCTCTGCATCCTTTGCAGTGAAATTCAGCCATGAGGTGATTATTTCCATCACCTACGTATTTACACCTGGGTTTACCAGGGTCGCCAGGGTTCCCACCGGCAGCACTCTTCTTCCCCCCTCCTCCTGGGCTTTGCCGATCTGGAGGAGGAGGATCATCATCAGGAGGGCCAGGTGGAGGTGGCCGCTTATCCGGAGTACGGGACGCGGCACGCCTTCCTCCTGTGCGATCGTTCAATCCACTACTTGATGCCTGGCTCGAGTGCCTTGACTCGAGGGAGTTAATTCTCTGGGCCGTATTACCCAGCACCTCGAGCATTTGCTCGATCTTACTGTTGAGCGTAGTCGAAACGGCCATGTTATGAGTATTTTGCTTGTCCGTGTAGGATTTGCAGTCCCTTGACTTTATCTCAAGGTTAGCAACCCACTTTATGCCGTCCCTATTATTGGTACAGCGTTGTTCGACATCTTGCATCATCCTATCAATCTGACATACCCTAGTGGACAGGTCCTCGATTTTGAGGTTTACTCCACCAATCGCAGGATGGTTGGATTGGCTCTCCACTAGAGATCTCTCGATCATATCAACACGAGCTATAAGCCCGGTTACTCGATCAGAAAGAGATTCAAAAACAGTTTGAACCTGGGTGATGGAGCGAGCAACATCATCATAGCTGGCTCGCTCATTTAGGGCATCGCCTATGCTTATCATGCGATTGGAAACGATCTTGACGCGTTGGCCAAGCTCGGTCACGATGTCCTTAGTCCCTTGTGACAGCTGCATGGCCGCGTTCGCAGCCTGCGTACACGTGCTACTCACATGGACGCATTGGTCGTATTTGGCCCTCCACGAGTTAACCTCAGTGGAGAGCTGCTTGATGCATTGATCACTTCTATCATTCCTACGCCCAAGGTCTTCGACCTTAGCAACCAGGCGATGAATGATCGCACTTACCGAAGAGTCCACTCTCCCTCTTTCAAGGGCTGTTACAAGATCAGCAACCTCGTTGGGTTGCTCCTCACTCGCAGGACCAAATCCTGATCCGCGATCTCGAGGAGTGGACAAATCAACCATGATTGGATTAGATCTCGGAGGAGTTCTGAAATCATCCTGCACGGCCGTTGATGGCCGTGGGAACTCACTCCGATTAGGAGATTGACTCTGATACGGAGCAGATCTCCTAGCATCACGAACCGCAGAGGGTTGTGTCATGCCCAGGCCTTTGGCCACGGACAGTTTAGGAACAACAGGCCTATCCGTTCGCATAGGAACATCAGGTCTCGAGTCAGCAATAACAATGTCATTCAAGTCGGTCGCATTGGACACTCTAGACTCAGACATCGATTCAATATCAGTCGCATTACTGATGGTATGATTGCGACTAGAACTTGATGCCATCATGGACTCAGATTCTATCGGAACATTAGCTCCGTCCATGTTGTCCAGAGCGAAAATGGAAGCCGCGTTGGGCGTAGGGCGAACACCTTGCGCGTTCAAGCCACTTGACCTATTAAATTCCTCCTGGAATGCTTCGATCCCATCAAGCACGTTAACGAGTGTGTCCGCGTTTAACGGGTCTCTACCAATGATCGACGCTGGATCACCTGATCGACCGCGTCCTGAGTCCCGCGTATTGGGGTTACCCCTGTGGGCAGTTTCCCGATCCATCCCCCTTGCCCTATGCGATCCAGTCGAATTTGACCTTGATCGTTTGCTTGGGGTTGGACTGGGATGCAAATCCAATCTATCTACGATATTACGCTCCCTAGGGCTCTCAAATCCTGAAAGTCCTGGGGGAGGGGACATGTTCCTCATGGTCGGGTTTACCGACGGTCTTGGCCTGACGTTACGGCTGGCCACGTCAGGATTGAGATTCTCAATCGACAAAGGTAGCATGAATTCATCGCTTCCAGCAGCCCGTTTTGGGCTTTGGAATTGCGGGAAAGATGACGGGGCGGGTGGCCCTGGCATCCATGCGGCAAAATCCATACCAAAAATGTTTCCGTCGTTGGGCCATGAGGCTCTCCAATCGAGCCCACCGGATTCGGTCGGCAGATGAACATCAAATGCAACTCCACTGGATGTACCAGGTTCGGGATTACCGAGCACTTGAAAAGCTATGCTACTGGTTGGCACAGGTCTACTGCTACTTCGAGAGTCACGAAACTCGGACTGACCAATATTCATCAGCTCCGGGAAAGATGAGGATTGAGCTCCAGGTGCAATACCGGGCTCGTCATCATCACGTCCTGAGACGGAATCATCATGGTCAGGACGATTAGCCCCACGACCCTGAGAGCGATTAGCTCTTGAGGCATTAGACGATAGGTCATCAGTGCGAGTAGCACTGGATCTTCCTGAAGGCATTGCTTCGGAAAAAGTGTGGTCCGACAAAAAGTCAGGACCGGAAAACATCGGCTGTCCGGGCACTTGGTCGTCATTCACAACGTCCAAGATTCCGGCCTGGCCGAGAACCCACTCATCGGTCACCACATGAGGTCCATCCTCGGTGATTCCCGCCATGAGTCCTACAGTAGCCTATGGAAAACGGCGCCTGCAGGGTTGTTATTAAATGGGGTTCGCGGTGCCAACCGAGGACGAATCCTACGGCTGATAACCTGCGAAAGGGTTTGAAACAGTATTTCGGGAGAGAATAAACAGGCCCAATCCCACCAACAAGAAGAGATTGTTTAAGTCCCCCAGTCCCAAGGGCAAAGCGGTGCCCTCGGCTGGCCAAACACGAACCAAAACAGGGTGCCAGTTGTAACAAGGTAAAGAAGCCCAGCAAGGGCAGAGACAACCGAAAGCAAGCACAAAGCAGCAAACCAGGCAGGCAAACAATGCAGCGAAGCAAGCAAAGCAAACCGGTGCACGCCAACCCCAACCAGACCCCCGACCAACCTCCGCCAGGAACACGACCGCAAGCGCACAGCACCAACACCCCGTGTCGATGATGTGCGCGTCGCGCCGCCGCGTTTTGGCGCCGAGATTGCAGGCGTTGATTGACGGATTGAAAAGCTTGAGCCAAACGGCGCATTGGCCGTGGCGTTGAAACATGTTGCGATAAAACTACATGCCCCCAAAAACAAAATGGAACCAACCACTAAACCAACTACAAACAAGGCCAAAAACAAACCGGAGCGCCAAGTGGAAGCAGCAAAACATGCAAGCCTAGCGCCATGAAAGCTCAAATTGGTAGGGTGCCCCCCCCCTTTCCAGCATGTACACAACCCAAAAATGTCTTGGATCACTGGTTCGAGGTCAAAACATGTCAAGCCACAAAAAAAGAGCAGGAAAATCACACCCCAGCTGAAAGAAAATTTGGGGCTCCACTGAGCAGATCGCCAGCGTCATGTGTGACAGGCTTCAGCTTGCTGGCCCTGAGGGCCTGAAGCGCGGCCAGGTGGCCGTAGTCGCCATCTGCAATCTGCGTGGCCCAGTCGGGTCGCACCCACCTCGGCGATCGGCGAGGCCAAGGTGCGCAGCTCCAGTCGCAGCTGCTTCGCAGCTTCCCTCTACTTGGTGGCTTGGATTGGTGGTTTGGTGGTGACATGGCGGGATAAACCCATGTTACCCTCTACAAAAGCCAGGGGGTCAAATCCAAACCACCAACTAAGGCGCCACATTAACAAACGTAGTGAAATGGGGTGGCTCTTTTGCCCAGGCGCCACACGGAGCGCAGGTGCCCAGCGTACACCGCGGGCAGAATCCACTGGGCGATGCCCCCCAGATCCGCCCGCAGCGCGTCGCAGGCCTCGCGCAACCGACGCCCAAAGACGGCGCCCAAAACGTCATGCGCTGAGCTGCCGAGTTTCACGGGCTGGAAAGTGGCTTGCCCCAGGCGAACAGCCTGACCAGAAGCTCGGAAACTGAATAAGTTTGGAGAGGGAGAGGCCTTTCAGGCCACGCGTCATGATTTGCTCATGTTATTTCGCGCGTGCCGCGACACTTTAACCTAGGATCAAAAAGCGGCCGCCGGCTTTGATGCATGAGAAGGATCTCCATAAGTACGTTGGCAGTCGCCTAGTTGCCCTTTTAGAAAGTTTGATGGCCCTGGTGAATCATCAAAACCAAGCCGAAGCCAGCGAAGCCGAACTCCGTGGCTTTGTGAAACAACATGAGGTTCCGTGAAGGTCAAGTAGCTGGAAAACACAGAACCCCCGCCCAAAAAACAACTCATGCAACTCGAAAACACATAAGCCCCAACCCCCCGCCACCCAGGCCACCCAAAGAAAAGAAAGAAAGCCAGGCTTAAGTGGGCACGGCAGCTCGCTCGAAGGCTGGAAGACCCCGCACCTGGCGGGGGTCCTCCATCACCAGCTCCGCCGGCATGGTGGTGGAGGCTGAGAGGTCCGGGTGCGCGTCCAGGTGCACCATGCTCAGACCCTCGAAGGGCACCTGTCGAACCGGCCGGACGCGGATCCATGCCCGAAGCACTGGCTGAGGGAATGAGACATGACCCGCAGCAAAACCATCCCGATGTTGAGACACAACATTTCTCTCTCCAACGAGGCGAGATGCTGCATTGCCTATCGAGAAAACAATCTCATCAATCTTTCTTGGTTTCCTTTAAGGGGAGGGGGTTCGGGTTCATTCCCAACACCCGGAAGGAAAACCATCACCTCGGAGGTCTAGTGTTGAGACACAACATTCCTCCGTCCAACCGCCCCTATTTCCTAGATTCCAACTTGTAATTACGTTTGCACCATGTTGCACCCATAATCTAATGCAAATGCAAAATTACAAGTCGCCCCTGCGCCTATAACGGCAGCAAGGGCTGGAATACACCAAAGCCAAAGCTTCTTAGTTGGCGTGTCGTGTGGCAATGGCATCGGTGCACAATGCTGCTTAGCCAGCATGGATTCCGTCTGAGAGGCATTCAGCCGCAATCCAAACAAATAAAATACACCAGCATAGACCCCAGATAGCGAAACGTGTGCCAACGATAGTACGCCAGCACCTCTAACAGCACTGCCCGAAGAGCACCTCAACCAACACCAAACAGCATCTCAAAAATATTGTAGCACCTGCACAAGAATCCCCAAATTGCATGCCCCCTAGCACCCTGCCGTCAATCTCGCAACAACACCCCTGGCCGTCACCAGACCCCAAAAATAGTATTTGCACCAGCCGTCAATCTCGCAAAACGCCACGCTCGTCACCAGCCCCTCAACACCATCCGCACCATCACCCCGAACAACAATTCCAAACGGCACTCCCAAACCACCGTCACCAGCACCTCATCTCAAAACACCACCTGCGCCAGCACCCCAAACTGCATGCCCCCTAGCACCCTACCGTCGATCTTGCAAAGTGTGCCCGCACCGTCACCTGCACACCCCAAAACAGCACCTGCACCAGCACCCAAACTGCATGCCCTAGCACCCTGCCATCTGCGCCCGCACCATCACCAGCTCAAGCACCCTAAACAGCACCTACACCAAAACCCCACACTGCATGCCCCCTAGCACCCAGCCGTCAACCTCGCAAATCACTTCCCTTCTTTATTAGAAGTTAAAACCCCTGAAGCTTTCAGCTATCTGGGGGAAAAACTTTGTGGTATTGGCTTTTCAGCTAGCCGCCTTCACCAAGCATCTGAGCCAAGTGTTCCTCTCGAACAGGCTTCGACTGTTGTCGCAGCATCAAACTCACCAGTAGGGTAAAACTAACCTGTCTCATGACGATCTATTCCCAGCTCATGTTCCCTATTGGCAGTTAAGGGACTTCCTACGTGGCTGCCACGTGCCAGTTGTCCCAGTGGTAACTTATCTGACACCTCTACCTGAACATTTCTCCGACCTAACAGACCGATAGGCCGCGCTCTCCACCTTGAATTTGCACTGAACATCAAATCAAGCAAGAACTCCCCAGGTCCATGAGACGTCTGTGCTTGTTGAGCTTCCCTTAGGACATCTGTTTTATTCTTCATGGACTTGCCGCAGCCAAACTCCGCACCCGATGCCTACACCAGGCAACCGAAACAAGTTAACCTTTCTAGCTTCAGAGACACGTTAGTTCAGCTTGCCCTGGTTTGGAGTCGAATCGGTGGTTTGGTGGTGTTCCGGGGATGGTGTCCCCACAAGAAGGGTTCAAATCCAGTCTAAACCACCATTCCAAAACCATGAACCTGCCGGGTTACCTGATTTGGGAATGGGTCAAAATAGGTACCCCAAATAGAACCCTGGCAAATGGAAACATGGACTAAAACCTGCGGTCCATATCCTGGTGGTTTAACTTTGACTCATACCCATTAGTAGCGGTAAACAAACCCAACTTGCACGACGCACGCCACCAATCAAGGGTTACCTGAGGAATGGAGCCAAGCCCAAAAACAGAAACCCCCATTCCAAACCGCGAACCTGCCGGGTTAAACTACTAGTAGCGGTGAACAAAACCAACTTGCGCTCGCCTTGAAGCGGCGAATGCCGAAGTGGAGGCATCGCAGCGCCTCCGAGTGAAACCAAAAGAGACGGCAGGTGAATCCGTTGATCTGTTTTTCCCCTGGTGTTTTTTGGAGGCGGCTATGGCATTGCCCTTTGACAAGAAACGCTGGAGGCCACACGTTATTCCCCCAAAAACTCCCTGGATTTTGGTGGCGTCCGGCCGTCCCTGGCATGTTGCGGGGCTCATTTCAAGCTTTCGGGGGGTTTGCAGGCCGCAGGCCCCGCACGCCATGGGGGCAACACACGCCGTGTAGGCCTCGTCGTGGTACTCGCAAATGAAGACGGGCAGGGCCGCACGCCGGTGCTTGGCCTCAAGCCCTCTGCTTTCCCGCAGAGGGCGATGCGTCGCTGCGTCTCGCTCGCCGAAAGTGGGCCAGGAAAAATGAAAGGTCCGCCTGTTGGCCATTTTCTTGAAATCAGCCAACATTTGGAGAAAGGTCAAAGCCACAGCTGCGGCTCTTTTTGCTTTTGCCTGCGTGTCACCCCGAACACTTGGTGGCTGTCGATGGGCGGAATTCCGCCAGTTCCCACTCCAAACCACCCATCAAGTCGAACGGAGAGCTTCCAACAACCGAAGGATCCCTCCCCCCACCAGTCGCCGAGCCGCAGAGCCATCAGGACCCGCAGCCATTGGCACATACGGGCGGCAGGAGGGTACTCAGGTGCACCCCCAAGCATTGGGACGCCAGGAAACCCTCCGAAGCAACACATGCCCCCACCACTCCCACTACCCCAAACGAAAAACATGAGATATACATGTTTACATGTACACAACCTGAGTGCAAACATACATATTCTACGTGCATGTGCATATATATATATATATATATATCTACACACGTCTTTGTATCCGTATAAATGCGCATAGATAAGCTTGTGCATGGTTTCACAACAACGAACAAGCGCGCTCAGTTTAGCTCTAGATGACCTCGATGCGAGTTGTGCGGGAATATCTGGATCATGTGCTTCAATAAGTTCTGACAACACGGATTCCGATTCTTAGCAGCTTGTTGTGTCCGAGCGCCATCCTGAAAAGGAAGTGCTGCTTGGTTGCGGCTGGCACTACCTCTTGCAGAAATTGCCCGCTGGGCGCAGCTCTGCGCTCTCACCGTTTGGCTCATGCCGCATGATGAAAGCACCCAAACACCAGAAGCCCTGTCTGCCTCAGCATGATCCTTGCGCGCGGCGCGACGAGGCCTCTCGGATCCATTTTCACCGTCCAGAGGCAGTTCCGGGCAGAGGAACTGGAAATCCCCCTCACACGTCCTGCACGCAGAACACTGGCCGGCTTTGCTGTCAGACGCTACGAGCGCGGTCAGAACGGCAAGGATCTTAGAGGGAGAGCGGCGTCGAACTTCCAGCTCCCATCTGAAACAACCAACAGCCGTGAGGTAACCCCCAAGCCGCCATGTTTTTTTTCTTTCTTCTCCCGTCGAGCAGATGCGTTCATCTTTGGGAAGCCATCAAGCTGGGGCTTTCATGGACCGGCGCCTTGATGACCACGATCTTGTCGCTGGGGGACCAAGGTCGCGGCTGCAGCTTGTCCTTGGGGTTGACCACCCACACCTCGGCATGCGGCCAAGTGGGCCACGTCACTCCCCGGGCAGCTGCAAATGGGGAGTTCATGTCCGTTGATCTCCAACTTTCTCCAAATCCATGGTCGTTTTTCGAACCCCTACCCCCACAATGTTCGCAGGAATGGCCTGCGGCCCACCCCTTTGCTGTCAGATGTGTCCGCCAAACACTCGACGCAGACCTGGGCTCCGCGCTCTTTCGCCTGCTTCGTTGCCTCAGATGGCTGCCACGGCGCTGCCCTACCGTGCCCCCTCGAGGGAAGAAATGCCGCAGGTAGGGGGACAGCCCCATGTCACAATTCGTTGCGCAACTTCCTGGAGCAAACCGCAACCAGCAATCCCCGTCCCACTGCTCCATCCACGCCTGAATCCAGCAGCCTGCATCCAGCCCACAAAACCCTTGACACCTTTTCACCTCCAAACCCTGAAAGCCTGCTTGAATCCCCACCCACGCCCTCCTGCCTGACCCAGGAGTCCAGGTCCGGGCCCCCGGGCTCTCGGACCAGCCCACGACCACCTGATGCGCCGAGCGGTTCACCATGGCCGTGACCTCTACGAAGCTGATCCTCGGTGAGAAGCGGTCAAGCGGTGAGAAGCGGCAGCCGGGAAGGGGCGACATGACTCTGACATGGTCATGTTTCGTTTTTTCTTGGGGAGGGTGCCATGGACCAAAGAAACAAGAAAAACACATTCCACAGCGAAGGAATCCCTGCGAATATCAGAATCCCTCCAATTGGTGGTTTGGCTTGGGGTTTTGGACCTTGTGGGGTACCTTTCCTTTTTTGGGTGCCAAAAGTCCAAATCCAAACCACCAATTGAGGGTTACCTGATTCCAAAGTGTTGCTGACCCTCCAAAAATGTTGTCTCTTGGCAATGATTGCTTCCAGCACCTATCAAGCAAGCCTGTGGCAGGACAATGTGGAAGCTAGGGATCGTTTGAAGGGTGTGGAAGTGGGCTTCGTCAAAGGATCTGCTGAATTGGGTTGGCACACCTGCGCCTGGTGCACATTCTGACCCAGCTTCACACGACTCCTGGTGGTTTACATCAAAGATACCACCGATGCTCCTCCAACCTCCCCCGACTTAGAATTCTCCGAGTTCTGTCGCAGTTGAATGCCCACCTGCTACATTTCCAAGCAACAAGCCACAAGCAACTTCCGGCATCCGGTGGGATCCCTGCTGTAGGGCAACCAGAAATCACAACCCAATTCAAGAACCCCCTTCCGCCGCTTCCCCCCCGCTCACCGCTTGATTCCAGCATCTGTGTTGGCAGCGGCTGGTCGCCCAAGTAATCCTTCAAGAACCTGGGAAGCTCATGCCCGAATCAGAAAGCCTCAAGAGCCGCAAGCCCCCCTCCAGCTTGCAACTCCTAAGGCCTTCGTCACCGAAACATGCGCCGACACATTGAGACCCAGCAGCGTGATGTCCATGTTGTTGCCAGTGGCTGACAGCAGGTCAGAGAGCACCCCGTGCGCCAGCGTGTCAATGGCCACCAGCGCCTTTGCGGGGGCAAAAATATCTTAGGTCAAAAACATCCGCGCGAGCCGCAGATGTTGTGCAAGCTGCAAGCTGCAGGCCCCAATTCTGAATGGTGATTTGCTGTGAACCTTGCATCTTTACATGATTCACATGTTCAAGTTTGCCAGCACATCACGTGCAAAGATACACACATCGACGGCTTTCATGAGCACGGTGTTGCGCGGCACTGTGTTGCCAGGCCCTGTGCAAAGCTTTTGACGGTCAGAAATCCAAACACAAACAGAAACAGCCACAACCTCCCACTCTGCTAGAAGACCAGGGTCAAAATCGAGGTCTGTGAAGTGTGGCCAAAGCCTTGGCTTTGAGCTGGGGCAAGGGTGGTTTCCCAGCCGCGCCGGCATGAGGGAAAGCCCGTCAAGACTGCTGACCGTTTCGGGCCAAGAAGTCGGAAACTGGCACCCCCCCGTCCCTTTTCCCAGTGGAGGATGCGGAGGCCAAGGAGGCCAAGGCACCAAAGCCTTGGACATCATGGAGATGGTGTTGATGGTGTTCCTTGGTGAGCCAGGAGGTCTGGGGAAACTGCACCAAGGAGCACTACCTGCTTCCCCCCTTTCCACGCAGCACCACGCCCACTCATCGAGCCAGCGCACAGGCTAGGGGTTGCTCGCGAAACCACGAGCAGGCGGAAGCAAACGAGACCAACGGCTCTGGGCCCATGCGAGTCCTCGACGTGAATTTTCGCGAGGCGGGGTTCGCATTCTCTATGCTAGCTTCTCGAAGTAAGTCCTGGAGATTCTCTACACAAGATTATCGTTTCTCAATACTAAGTTCTCTAAGCAAGCTTCTCGATGAACGACCTCTAGAGGGGTTGCTGCTCTATGCAAGTTCACTTTGCAAGTGCTCGTTGTAAGTCAGTGCATTGTGCAAATTGTCCACGCACACTTCGGTGGAAGTGCTCGGTGCAAAGTGTTCTAGTTCTATTCATGTTCTCTCAGCAAGTCCTCTGCGTGCAAGCGCTAGAGGCCAGATGGTCTCTGCAAGTTGTCCACAAAAGTGCGAGCGCGAGCCAGCGCAAGAAATCCAGCAGAAGAGACTATAGAACACTTTCCAAAGAACCACTCACTTTCCTGCTGGTCATGGGGGAGATGCTGAAATCTGCAAAATGTGACTATGGTTCGAAAGCTGAACAAAGAATTGGATCCCCAAAGGGAGCTTTGTGGTGAGCTCGTTATCCCCCCGCCCCCGCCCGAATCGGTGAGCTAGATCAAATCAAGTTTCAAGGGCCAAAGGCCCTCATTGCGGGTCTAATGAATGCGTGCCGACACCCGCCCCCACCTGAAAGGTGACCTTAGCTCAGAAACTACATGGTTAACCATGAAGCACACCCACACCAAAAACAAAAACTCAAGGGACAGCCCTGCAACTTCCTCCTCCTCCCAGCCACAAGATGCCGCAGGCGGCCCATCGCCCCCGCTGGGGCCCCCACTGGATGCCGCAGAGCTCCAGCTGGGAGGCCGCGTTGGGGGTGCAGATCTCCACCTCCGCAGGAGGACTCCGGGCTGAAACCCCCCACTCCCGGCTTCAAAACAGGCAACTGAAAGCGCCTCTCCTTGGTTGACGTTGGAAGGGAGCAAAAATTTGGAAAAATAGCAGTTAAGTGGTTGGATTTCAACCACTAAACCACAATAAGCAAAACATGTAAGATGCTTCTCAACAATAACCATGTCTCTAGGGGTCACGGTCGGATTTCCCCGACTCGAAAGTTGATCAACTAAATTTTGGTGGTTTCGGTTGAAACGATCGGCTTCCACTTTTGGTGGGTCAAAAATAGGTGCTCAAAATGGCTTGCGCCGGTATATGGAACCAAGGACTCAAACCGCTTCTTGGGTATGAGCCCCTGCCATTCCACATTTGCTGGGAGGCCAAGCCGCAGGGCAACCACTGGGGTTGGGCGCTTCTTTTGGGCCGCAGTCTTTGGTGAACACGAAAAAAGAACCGGCGAAGGTGATTTTCCCATGTCGTACAATGACATTTAAAACAAGCCGAGGTATCCCCAGCAGCCCCAAGAGGTCCTGGAACAGCTGCCCCAAGCTACCCCTGACGAAGCCTATCCGGGCCGATCAGCCCCCAAAACGCGTTCAGCTGTGGAAATGACCCCAGGGATTCTCAAATAAAGGAAACCACCCGCTGGAGGGTTGTTCTCGGGGTCATTCCATTTCTCATTCCCTGCATCTCTCGTACCGATCGCACGTTTTTCCCACACCAACGGACATGCGCCCCATCCGCGCCCGCCCCCAAGGCCAAGCGAAAAGAAAGGCCCTGCCAGCGGGTTGAAGTCCAGCTCCGGCGCACGCTCCTCGCCGGGACAGTGCTTAGCGAGTGCTTGGGCGCTCTTGCCCTTCGAAGGGAAAAGGGAACCCTGCAAGAGAGCTACCAGAAAAAGCAGAAAAAAGAGGAAAAAACAGGAAAGAATGGTTTGGAATCGAAATGTGACCTCTTGAATGCTGAGCGATGACATGAGCGAGTCCACGCAACTGAACCGTGAGTTGCAAAAAAGGGAGGGGCACTGTGGACTCCCTAAGAATGGCTCGGCACATCGAGCACGAGCCATAGATATAAGGACGCCGCGTCAAAGGGCTGATCCTTTGAACATGACTACCCACTATCTTTTCCGTGGAAGAGGGACAGGGTGACACCCTCTCTCTCCCTATCTCTCTCTCCCTCCCTCTCTCTCTCTCTCTCGCTCTCTCTCTCTCGCACCGTCCCTCTCAGCTGGGCGCAGAAACCCCGCCAACAAGCAGCCACTCTCAGAAGAGGCCAATCTTGAGGGCTTAAAAGCTGGATGGCTGGGCAACCCACCTTCAATTCACGGAAAATGCCAGTAACTCGGGGTCAATTCCTTTAATACCCGTTGATGCCATCCCTTGCAGTCATCCGGAGCAGCGCACACACCTCCGACCCCACCAAAAGGCTCCGACCGCGTGCGGAGACCGGGCATCATCTTACGAACGGCTTCGCTTTGTGGTTTCTATGACGGGCAGGCTGTGAACAAAAAGCTGAATGTGGCCGTGGCTCAAAAAACCGGTACCCAAAATGGAACCGTGGTAAATGGAAACATGGACCAAAACCTGCGTAACCTCTCCTGTCAAATTTTGAGCCACACCCATGTCTGTGCCCCGATGCCCCTGACGAAGCTGCGGGCATCGGGTCGCCCACGGCGGCCTGACCTTTTTGCTGACTCCTTCTGTGGGCTTGCTCATTTTTGCGGTACGCTTTGCAGGCCGGCTGCGAGTCTGCGAGAAGCAAGGCTTGCAGCCACCGAAAGGAAAGAACAAATCTACGACTCCTGCAGGAGACTCTTCATCTGGATGATCATCGCCACCGTTTGCTCGTCAGCCTCGCAAACAGGCCAACCCCAACCAACGCAACCCACAAGCGGCAAAGCTGCGCCTTCTGAAACCCAAGCTCTTGGTCTGCCAGGATGAAGTGGAAGGCGTAATCCCTCGGGGCCAAGCTAGAGGCGGACGCGTTTCGGCTTCTCTCAAGATGGGAACCCCTTGCAAAAACAAAAAAGCTGAACCAATGTGCTTCGACCCCCAATTGGGTTGGTTAGGGGAAAACGTAAAGTTCAACAGAAGAAGCACTCTCCCAACCATCTGGGTCACTTGTGGGAAACTGCCATGCTGCGCATGCTGCGCATGCTGCGCCCGTGTTCCAGCGGCCACTCTTCCAAAGGCTTCCAATGACGGAGGCCACCTGGCATCCCCAAGCGGAGGGCAGCTCGCTTCAGCGCCTATCTTGATCACTCGGGGCCAAGCCTTCATGAGCCAAACCTCCAAGCGCTCGCTTCCCGACTCAGGCAGCCCATGGATTCGAATCCATCCAGGCCTGGTGGAAGAGATCAGCAAACATGGAAACTGGGAAGGCAGGGAACGAGGAAACCCATCGAAAGACCCACACGACAAGAAGGCCTGAACGCCTGAAAGCGCATGCGCGTGTGCGCTTTGAAAATTGCTGGGACTCCGCCATGCCGCAAAACCCCCACAGCAAAGACAGCAAAGGCCACAAGCAAAGGGAGGGAGGCCTTTTTCCTGGTGCAGCTGCAACAGATCGCATCCTGAACCCCCTGGCCAGCAGAATCTTCTGTGAGGGACCCCTTTTGCCTGGTGCTAATCTCCTGTGGACGTTCTGCTCTTTCCATGTTTCAGGAAGTGACGAGATGCCAACCCCCAAAGAGGGGCGTGGCTCAGGTCGCCGACCATCCAGCCATTCAGCCAAAGTGCTGCAAAGGTAGCACATTGATCTTGTGCTGCGAGGTCATCTGATGCTTGGCCGTGGTGTGCACGTGTCTCACCTCCCCAGCCACCATTCTCAGGACCCGCGGCTGTCCGCTTTGCTGGCAGCTTGACCCAAAAGAGCTCAGTTTCCCAGCTCCAGCCAAACAAGACGTGGCGGTGATTTCCAGATTTGTTCCCAGCGGTCGAAAAGTAAGCTCGCTCTCTCTCTCTCTCTCTCTTTTTCTCTCTTCCCTGGGTTTTTCCCATTCCCTTGCTTGCCGCCTTGATGTTCCTGAACTGCCTCTCCGTCTCGTCCTCGGCATTCTTGATGATGGCCCTCACCTCCTCCTCCTGGCCGATCTGACCCATGGCTCCAGCCCCCGAAGGGACGTGTGCGTTGGCCCGTGGCCCACTGCCCTTCCCCCGCCCCCCCCCCCCCCCACCCCCAAAACGGGAAAAAGCCCGCGCGAGATTCAGCCAAGCCGCCGGGAGGGAGCAGAAGATGTCGCACTCCTGCCAGAGAAGGGGAAGGGAGGCGCCCCCCAGTGTCCTTGTGTTTGTACCCGCTTTCCTGGACAAGGGGAAAACAACCCTAAGATATTTGATTCACCCAGTGCATGTACGCAAAAGAACGCAACCTACGACCAAAACCAACCCGCGCAGATCCACCACTGGCAGCAACTAGGGCCAATTCCCACCGAGGAGCAGAGCCGGCAGCGCACATCCTGAGGCTCATTTGTGCCAGTGGTCCGCGTTAGGTGGGTAGGTACCTTCCCACCTTTTTTACATGGAACCTGCATGGAACCTGACGTTTGGGGGTGTCCTGCCCCAAACGTCAGGTTCCGGCTGTTAATTGGTGAAAAAAAAATACCCATGCGATTGGTTGATGACAGTCCAAACGTCCCTTGATAGTCCAAGGTTCTCACAAGGTGTGAACAACGCAGGACATCCAGGCCACAGCGGGGGCGGGGGGTGAAGGTCAAATGTTGTCGCCCAAACAGCTAGTTTTGAAGGAAGCCGCGCGTTGCGACGAGGGGCCCAATTGGTTTTGCCGTTGCCGGCATTTTTCCGCTTCTCTGAATGCCCGCTTCTGGGGCTCGAGCAAATCCAAACCCCGCAGAAAAGGCCAAGGCACTCATCCAGGGCGAACAGGATGGCGCAGCCATATCCTATGCGAGCAAACCGCACACAAACCTTTTGTCTTCGGCTCTTTGGCCAAGCCAAGCATGGAGTATACATCCCAAAGTCACTCCCATCCAAAGGGGTCATGGGGCTGCACTTGCCAAGTCCTTCCTTCCCACGAACGGAAATCCGGTTCCAGGCGGGTCGGGTCCTCTTTCCGTGAAGTTGCAAATGAGCACCTGCACCACTTCCTTGGATCGGCTATGGAATGCGTGGTGAAAAGCAACACAGGGGGCCCGAAAAGGCTTGTATGCTAAACGGCCACATGATACGAATGTGTCCGTGGCTTTCGGGGATGTGGGATATGTCCGCGTTCCCGACACCCCACCCTAGTTTGGGACGCAAGGCGGCCAGCAACGAATCTCCGAGCACCTGAGAGCACCTGCTCTGATCGGATTAGCCATCCGAACATCTGACCTTGGGCTTGCCAAGGATCATGGTCATTGGGATCTGCTTCTTCGAAGATGGCAGTCCCAAACCTCGCCAAGTTCTGGGAGGCTTGGCAGCGGGAAATGATGTAATCCACCCACTGCAGACTCTCTGAACGAGGCCTTGCTATGGCGTCCTCCAAAAAAACGAGCCGCGCAGGGCTAGGCCCCGCCGATTTCCCGCAGGCCCTCTCTGCGCACGTGGGTGTTCAACCGCACCCGCCTCCGCCTCCAGGCCTCAAAGTCCATGAGCGGCGCGTCCATTTTCTGCAGCGCGTCGTCGTCCTGCCCCAAAAAAAAAAAACGAAACCCGATGCCGCGACGCCCTGCGAAAACGGGCCGCAGATGTGGTGCGCATTGCTTGTGCGGCCCTAATTTTCCTGGTCGTTCTTGCCTCCAGCCCCCAAATGGTGGGCGGGGCGCTTGCAGCTCTCCAAAAGCGCTTCCACCAGCCTCCACCCTTACCGAGGGAACCTTCACCGAGGCCTCAGCCAGCACAATGACCTCGTCATCCTTTCGGATCTTGTATTCCTTCTCCGGGTTGATGCGGTAAGCGCCTCGCATGAGAACCAAGATGACCCCAACGCTGCAATGGCATGAGCTTGCCATGCTTCCCGCACCCACCCCCAAAGGCGCCTGATCTGTCACGGATGCCAATGGGCACCGTGTGCTCGCACCAGAACGGCACCTCCTGCATGCAACAGGTGTGCGTCGCAAGGCAATGCTGTCATCTGCCACTTTGTGACCAGCTCTTGCAGCGAAGGGCAATGGCATCCAGTACCTAAGAACCTCCAGTGCGAACCGTGCCCGGAGCCTGAAGGGATGAATGCTCAACAAGTAGCCCCTGCCATATTCAACCTACCCGGCTTGGACTTTTGGGGCTTCGCCAAGGCAAACACCTGCGCGCGCATTGCCGACTTTGTACACACCGGTTGAAACAAATTGCGAAACCCGAATGTCACGGACTAAACACCGAATGCTGGGTGTGGAAACCAGCTACCCTCTTGCAAAAAAAAAAGGACGGGCTCAAGGAAGAACCAACGTGAAAACCTACGAAACCCATTGGATGACAGTGTTTTAACAGATCCTTGCAGCGGTGCTTTCTCGATGCTTGGGCCTGGATAGCCAAGTTGCTGTTTTGCTCAGCCACCGTTGCTTTTTGGGGTAAAGTGGGTGGAAAAAAGAAAGCGATCGCAACTGGCGATCCAGAAAGTTGTTCTACAGCAAGCCCCGCCAAGGCATCCACCCTGCGACCCCGAGGACAAACCGCCCGCCGCCGGACTGCGGCGCCTGGAAGCTCTTCCCTGCGAGCCCCAGCACATCCGCCCGCGCGGCGTAGAACTCGTCCCCCTCGAAGCCGATGATGGCCTCGGCCCGCACGGGCGAGGACTCGACGTCTCCCGGGAATCTAGGCTGGAAAAATCGGACCCCTGCAAAAAAAAATGGTCTCTTTGCCTGGCTCGTGGAAAACGAAGGGACCCCCAAATCAGCTTCCCTCTAACTGGTGGTTCGGAGCCGAATCAGTGGTTTGGTGGCCAAGGGGTGGTTTCCATGTACCCTCTACGAGAACCGGAAGAACCGGGGTTCAAACCCGACTCCAAACCACCAATCCGAACTGACTACGGGGTACCTGATGTAAAGACCTAAGAAAGGAAGCATCTTAGCGAGAGGCCATTCAAGCCCAAGAGATCCCGAGCTCGGCGAACTCTCGCCGCCTCTCGCGCCAAGTGCGAGGCAAAAGACGCCCCTTCTTGGCACCCGGCATTGAAGATGGGGCAGAGGCCCTGGCCACGAGCGGCATACAGATCCCAGACCCAAGCAGCACGCGACACTCATGGCCACCCCCTTCTCACATGTTGAAAGAAATTCCGGGATGACCATCCCATGCAGTTTTTGGGGATATGTCGGCAAAGGTCCTCTCAAACAATGCAGGGGGGGAAAAGGTGCACCTTTGAGTTGCGCAAGGCCGGTGTCCGTCTTGTTCTGGTCCTAATGAACAGCCGGAACCTGACGTTCGGGACCAGGCCCCTTCAAAAGCAAAACGGTCCAAACGGACCCGAAACGTCAGGTTCCATGTGAATCGGTGGAGAGGGTACCTTTTCAGAAATGAAGCGCCTGCACCCACGCACCTCGCCATCCATGGAGGGGCACCTCTGTTTGGTGATACCTTTTCAACCACCTTCCCCCAGAAGAGGAAAACAGAAAAAGAGAAAAATGCTGGTTCGCTAGGCAGGGAGTGAGACATGGAAGGACAGCGTGAGCAACCATCCCCCATGGTTTCTTTTAAAGACTCCCCCCTAAACCGTTTCATTCCCACCACCCGGAAACTCATTCCCGACCTATCGCACCAGCAAGCCTTCTTTTTAACACAGTTCTCCCTCATTTGCGCTGAAAGCTTGGGGTTCTCTGCCCAAATGCCATGGTTTCCATCCCCCTAAACTGGTTCATTCCCAACACCCGGAAGATCATTCCCTACTTACCGCACCAGCAAGTGCACATTTCTCCCCAACAGCTGAAAGCTTGGGGTTCTCTGCCCAAATCGGCTCTGGAGCGTTCCGAGGGGTCCAGGAGGGGCTGTGGGGGATACAAAGCCACCGCTGCCACCTCGCCTGATCCTGCGCGCTCTGCACCATGAGCCGGCCCAAGCGCTCGCCGCTCAGCACGAAGGTCTTGCCTGCCAAACCCGCCACACCGCTACACCGGCACGCCGCCAAACCGCTTTGGGGTTGCCCCCAGAAAAGTCGTGGAACCTCCAAGAATCGGAAAACCCGCCTGGGACCACCTGCAAAAACTGGGTGGGCTTTTGTTTTCCACAAGTAAAGATCAGCCCATGGCACAATTGACCAAGGGCAATACTCCATCCTGGCCGCCACCAAGGACGGCATGCACAAGACGAGCCCAGAGGATGGCCCCCTTTTGCTGTGGGACCATTGCTCACAATGATCCCACTTGTCTTCTGCATGCCTAAAACCCTGGCGGCGGGACAGTGCGTGCACGGTCCATTTAAAGCCGGTGTAATTTGGAATTTGGAACAAGCACTCTGCTTCATGCGGCATGTCAAAGCCTCCCTGCCACCTGAGACCAACATGCAAGGCAAAAGTATTCATACTGGCCAAAGGCTACTCCAAATGTTGAGCCGTGGCTGCTGGTCCCAAGGATGCTTTACTGCTGAACCCTCACGTGGGAGAAGTGGATTTCAGGGCAAGCATGGCAGTCATTGTTCGGTGTTCAAGGGCGCAGCTCATGATTTGGCTGTGGGTCAAAAATAGGTATCCAAAATGCAACCCTGGTGCATGAAAACATGGACTGACACCTGCGGTCGATCTCCTGGTGGTTTAGTTTTGACCCATACCCATACCTGGGCCGGGGCCATTTTTTCAGCTGGGTTTCGCAAGCCGCCTGGGTAGAGCTTCTTCATGAAGTTCACATTCTTGCCCAGGCAGCACCTCACCACATCCGAGACCCTCGGCATGTTTTGGACTGGCAGCTAAGAAGCAGCCGCGCAGGGTGCCAACCAAAGCCCAATTTTACCAATGGGGCCCCGCGGCAAGGCAGGGCTTCCAAGCTGCCTTGCAATACCCACAACAGCCCCAGCCTCCCAGCTGCCTTGCAAAACTCACCCCCCAAAAATAACAAAAAAAGCTCTGAAGAGGCCACACCAGTCTCCCAGTGTCCAGTTCCGTCCGAGCCGGGTGGCTGGACGGAGATGTGGCCATTGTGGGGCCAGCCATCCTTGCCCTGACCTGCGCGCGAGGGCCTTGCCATCGGGAACCTGATGGCAACAAAAAAAATGCGCCAGTACTCACTTCCTCAGTGGACTGGCCCAAGAAAAGAGTCCGAACTTTCTTACTTGCCACTAAGATGGCCCTCTCAAAACGTTTCTCAAGCCCAGGAACTCGGAAGTGAGGCTACCCTGCCAACCCACGGCTTGATATGTCAACTCATCTGCGCTGAGAAGGACGAAGCATCAGAAAGCCGAGAGAGAAACGTTCAATAGAACTGCCTGTACGAGAAGCAAAGTCAGTAGTTGAGTTTGGTGTGTTCTTTCCCTTTTGCACTTTGACTGCTCCCACCAATTCATATGGGACCTGACGTTTCGGGTCCTGGCTGGGGCCATTTTCCTTTAAAGGGACGCCCGAAAGTCGGGTTCCGGCTGTTAATTGGTGGGAGGGTACCTGGGCAACCTATTGTGCGGTTGTCCTTGTTGTGACTCCACACCCATCCACGTGAGTCATGATCAACACCCGGCATGGAGAACCAAGAATGCGACATCTGCGCCCATGTGTTGCTAAGATTCTCCCACACATTCATCTTGCCCTCGACTACCCCGACAAACCCAGAAACACACACACACACACGATTAAATAAACGGGGGTTCTCCCAACAACTAGCAGCCGGAACCTACAGGGGTGTCCTGGTTTGGGCCGTTTTCCTTTTAAAGGCACGCCCGAACGTCAGGTTCCGGCTGCAAAAAGGGTGGGAGGGTATCCCTTACTGACCTTCATCTACCCGAATCGGTTGTAGAAAACCCTCCCTCCAACTAACAAGAAAAACTGACACGGGGGTCCCCAGCTTGTTAATAGGGGGTGTCCCCTCCAAAAGCTAGGTCCTCCAGTAGAGAGGTTAGAATAAGGGTACCAGTGTTTTGTTTGTTTGTTTGTTTTTTCTTCTGTGAGCTATTTCCCTGAACCAACTGCAACGCGGCATGTCAGGAAATTCTCTCCCAAGAGGGGGGTGTCCCCTCCAATAGCGAGGATTCCCCCCGGTAAACCCAAGGTCCAAGGGTTTTTGTACACCCTGGGAATACACCCACTGGCTATCGACCCCATTTAGGCACACATGTCCGGATAAAACCGTGTTATTTTCAACCATTCTGGGTCATTTCCCAAGGGTGTAGTACAAAAACCCTCAGACAAGGGTTTTCAGGGCGTGCGCCGTCTCCCACTGGGCGCCCCGGGCCCCGCAGGGTCAGCAGCGTGCCGAAGGTGATGGCGTCCGCCTCGTCCCGGGGCAGCGAGGGCTCGTCCAGGATCACGATCCTGACGACTCAGGAGGGAAACCGGGGGAACGGGGAGGCAGATGGATAAATAGATAGGTGGGTAGGTGGGAAGGTGGGCAAATACATACATGGATGGATGGATGGATGGATGGATGGATGGATGGATGGATGGATGGATGGATGGATGGATGGATGGATGGATGGATGGATGGATGGATGGATGGATGGATGGATGGATGGATGGATGGGTACATAGATAGACAGACTAGATACACTAAATAGACTAGATAGCCTACACAGACTAGACACGTAGGTAAGCAGTGGCTGTTTGGCGGGTTGATTCTTTTCGATTCAAGCATGAGCAAGATGGGCCAAGTGCCTGTTGCAACCCTTCACCCCGCCTGCTGGCGACATCCGCACCCACCTTCCACAAATCTTCTGCAGAGGACGGCAAGCCTTTTCGGCAAACGATCCTCAGGTCACCAGAAAGCCCCGCCTGTCAAACGGGCACAAGTAGAGTCCTCAAAATGTGATGCCTAGACATAGCCAACTTGTACTTGCAAGGCGGCAAAAGGGGGAAGGCTTAAACCTGCTTGTAGTGGGGCAAGGGAGTGATTCTACTTGCAGAAGAAGGTGCTTGAGGTCCCCCGTGTTCGTGTTCTGGCGCTTGATCTCCTCCTCAATCCTAGGATAGAAGTCACTGAAACCCAGCCAGGTTCAACTGCAAATCAGGAACCGCACAAGGCACCAAGGACCCTGCAAGCCTCCTTTTCTCCAGCCACCTTTGTTCAGTGCCACGGTTCTTGTTTCTTATTTCCCAACAATCTTGGGTGCTGCAGATCCCCCGCCAAAAAAATCTAAAGATTCAACCCAAAAGCAGAAGAGACATATCACCGGAATTCTAAAACCCCAATGCAAGGAGGCGGCCCTACCATTCCCTCCAGGCCCCCCCGCTCGGACTTGGGCATGTTGTCCAGGATGGCGATGGTCTTGGGCGCCCCGCTGGCCTCGCAGATGGCCAGCCTTGGCTTCTCGCTCTTCGCCTTTCGCCCCTCGACGGCTTCGAAACGGAAAGCGCCATCCAACGGATGCTGCGAGCCCGAAAATATCCGACGACATATCCGAGCAGTTCTGAGGGCATCTCCTTTCAATCATCCCCCCCCCCCGTTGTTGGGATCCACGTTGATTTGCGAGAAAGGAAAACCACGCGTCGAATGAATGCGCCAACATCCAAGCACCGGACCAAGTGGACCGGTACCGCTTCTCAGCGTTTTCGGCCAGCCCATGTGACTGGATTTCAGGCCAGGCAGCTCTTCCAAGAACTGCTTCGTCTGGGAGGACAGGCCCAACAGAACCAGGTGGCTGCCCTTGCAAGGCGAGCTTTTGCTTTGCAATGTTGCAGATTGATTCCTGCATGTCGGCCATGTCTTCATTGCTCTAAACTGGACACAGTTTGGAACCAGCAGCTCCTGGATCCCTCAGACAGAAATCTGGAAATCTGGCGCCTCAACAATTGGGTCCCTTCCCTCATTGGACTTCCGCTGCTGCTCCGCGAAGAAGTCCTGAGCCGCATCCGGGATGGCTACCAACTGGCTGCGGGCTCGGCCTGTTACTGCTGCCTTCCGAACCCCCACACGGCATGCCGAAAGTAAGGACCGCTTGGGGCCATCGCAGGTGACCAACATGAAAACAGGCGCCCAACTGGCTGTTGACTCCTTCCCACTCAGACCGCTTTCTTAGCATGCCCTGGTCACATGACCAGAGTGAACCCATGATCCAACCAGCTTTCTGGGAATCCAGGATGAATAAACCACTAGTTGATTGATGGAGGTTTTCTTGTCTGTTTCAGAGGAACACCCCCTAGCCATCCACCACCGATCTCGCTGTGGCTGAAAAAAGTGGTACCAAAATGGCACCTTGATATATGGAAACAAAGACTAAAACCTGCATAACCCTGTCCCTCCTAATTTTGAGCCATACCCATCTGGCAGTGCCGTTTTTGCCAGGCGCGGAGATGGTGGTCAGCAGCACCGCCAGCAGCACCAGCCCGCCGAAGGTGGCGATCATCCCCACGCCGCCTGAGGCGCCGCCCCAAACGGCGCCCTTCACATAGGAGGTGGGTGGTTCAAAGCGAACGCGTGCGTGTTTCCCCCCTTTGGCGGTGCACCGCAAAGAAAGGGAAAGCTCTGGCCCCTCCGAAGATTATAGATTAGCAGATGTCCCAAAGGGCGATCTTGCCCTTGGGCGGCAGGGGTTCTAATCCATGCCGACAGTAGCTCCACGGGGCACCGACTATCCTCCTGTTCACTGGGAGATGTTGCATGCGCGCTGGCGAGGGATCTGCCAACATGTATGACCCTTCAACGTGTTGGCCCTGGATCAATAACACCTGAACTCTGGTTGGCAAACATCATGGCTGCCCCATTCCAGACGAGATCCTTAATTGGTGGAGGAAAGAGTTTGCCTATCCGGGGTTAACACAAACGGTGACCTGAGAAATGCTAACCAAACAAAGCAACAAAAAAGAAGCAACCACGCTGATGCACTAAATGATAGCAACAACCAAAACAACATTCCCAGAAAGCCAAAAATGGCCTTCAAAAAACGCAACCTCAAAAGAGTTCACACCCCAGCCAAAATGCAAACACAAAAGCAAAACGAACACACAGAAACAAACAAACAAACAAACAAACAAACAAACAAACAAACAAACAAACATACCAAAAACAAACACAAGCACAACACAAAATAAAACCAACTGGCACCCGCGTTCTTTCGACCCTGGCCTTCCATGGCGGTCACTGCCGGGTCTACCGACGCCGCAGAGGCCCACACGGTACAGAGCCAGAGGCCCCGGACCGGGGAGTCCTGATCTCGCGAATCCAATCCGGCGAAGGGTCAGGCCCGGAGGTCGGAGGCAGGCCCGGAGTACCAGTCGGAAGGGTTCCCCAATTTTTCTGTCGTGAACCAAGTCATAGAAGGACTGCACATATTAAATATGGGCAGTCCGACACAAAGAATGAGCCTAGTCGTCGCCACTCTCTGCAAATCAAGGCGCATCGCTGCATGAATGTTTCCTTTGGAGCACCCCCGTCCTTTTGAAGCTTTTTTCCACATGTGTCAAGACCGTGGACAGGTGCTTGTCAATTGTGGGATGGGTGTCTTTGCCGCCCTTCATGGAAGGAGCCCCATAACTTCGACAACCCCCCAGCTCCTGCATCAGGATGGCGTAGATGAAGGAGCCTTGGCGCCAAGGCCAGACGGGCTCGCGCAACCACTCCCAACACCACACCTCCTTCTGCCGAACCCGGATTCGAGCCTTGCGGGGTTGGGGAGGGTTGGTCTCCCCGAGTGTCAGACTGCCTCCAGAAACGGAGTTGCCACCTCTATGAATCAACCAGTTTATCAAAAAATCAGTTTATCTAAATCGTGCTATCTGAGGCCTTGTCCGATGGTCAGCAGCGTCAAGATGCCGATGACCAGCAACTCGAACATGGCACTGATGCCGCCTGGCCCAAACGGTGGCCCCCGAAAATGGACTTTGGTTTCCGTGTTCCACCGAGAAAAAAAATAAGCAGGTATCCCCCAAACAGGGACGCGCCACCGCACCGTCACCCCATGAAGCCGTCACGGCCTGAGGCCATCCAATAGTTGAAGTGGTAGGTGAGGTACTGCTGGAAGGTGCGGCCCCCGATGCTTTCCTCGCATCCGGCTCTTGGAGTCTGTCTCAGACACTTTCAGCCAACCATCTCGACGGGATCGGAAGGTTAGCGGGAAACTGGTCATTTTGAGGAAGGTCCCTGCGCAGGCAGCCCCAGATTACTGTGTTTTTCGCCGGAAGGCTCCCCTTGCGCGGGAAAACCGCAAGCAGCACTTGCTCGGGGTGCCCGGTCCTTCTCGTAGGCCTCGTGCATGCGGAAGTAGAGGGATGGCAGCCACCAAGTCCACATCCAAACGCCTTGGATTCAGAACCGCCAACTGCTCCGCAGCAACCGTCACATCTACTCTCAGAAGGGAATCTTCCGACCGCAATCTTCCGACTTAGCAGCAAAACCCATCGAAATGTCGCCCCACAACCCAGGGGCAACACACCTGCATAGAGGAAGCCCATCCACAAGAAATCAATGAGAAAACATGCGCGGAAAATGCGAGGCCCCAGCCCAGCCGGGGCTTGGCCTGGCGAACAGGCAACTTGCTACACCCAGGCGCCGTAGAGTAGCACAGACCAGCCGATCAAAGTGCGGCAAATCACCCACAACCTGCAGGGAGCCGCTTCTGAATTCAGGAGTGCCAAAGGCTAGACAATCGGGCTGACTCTGTGTGTGCTTTTCTTGTTGTTGTTTTTTTTTTGGGGGGGGGTTCTGGTGTGATAGGTAGCGAATGAGCCAGGGTGTTTGGAATGAATTCAGGGGTCCCCTAAAAGGAAACCACAAGAAATGGTTTATAGGGGTCATTCTAGCTAGTTTTTCACTTCCGCTGCCGAGGAGCTGGTGCTGGCCAAGGTTGGCGACGCTCTCCCCAAAGATCGGCTGCAGAATCCTCCGAACCCAGCCCCGTCCGGCCATTTTTGTGTGAAAATGGCGACAATGAACTCAGGCATGTCAAGTTGCCAAAGCGGCAAGCCTGCCGCATGGCGAGCAGAACCATGGCAGCCTTCATTCTCCCCAATAATTCAAAGCAATCGATCAAAATGGCAGTCTCCAACACAGGGGCCCTCGAATTCCCGAGCAAAGTCGGCGAATCCTGCAAGTGATCGCCTGCAGCCTTCCTGATGTGCCCTACTACTCGCCTTGCTCAGTGCCTCCAGTTTTCCATCACAAACCAGCCCATGGCCACGAAAAGGCAAGGCATCTCAAGCGCCCTTCTTCCCCCCCCCCAGACTCCTGCTGGACAAGGGCACCACCTTCGGCTGTGGCGCGTAGGTGGGCGCCGCAGTCTTCTCCTTCGCTTCCTTCGCTGCCGGCGCCGCCGGCGCCGCGGCGGGGCTGGGCGCCGCCTGGGGCCAAATGGGTCGGCTCCGCCTAAGGCCAGCTGACGCCCAGTCCACGCGGTTATGGAGCCCAACAGAGGGTCCCCTTTCAAGGCAAGCCGTCTTACACCTCCGTCAGGTTCCCTGGCAATGTGGGCCATGGGCAGATGCAATCTTCATGGCCCAAGTGATTCTTTACAGAAACCCCAGGCTCGCAAGCCGCGCCATAGGCTGTGCCTTGCTTCCAAATCGGCCTGCAGTGCGGCTGCCTCCCGGGTCACGAGGCCATGGGCTCCAAAGCAAGAGGTGGATGCCAGCAACAGCACCTGTGGCCGAGGCGACCCCTAGATTGCACCCGTCACTTCCTGAAGAGACTGAATAACCAAAAAGGAAGTGCTTATTGCCCAGAGATTCTTGAAAGTATCAAGTCCGCAAAGTGGTAACCCCTAGTAGGCCATGTTTCGTTGCCAACAGTTGTCGGCGACCTCCAACCCAAGGGGGCAGCTCGTAAACTGCAATGAGCTGCGGGTCAAGCAATCCTTGCTACCAAAAAGCGGTCGGCGTGGATAGGCTTCTCTTAGTGACTTAGTGAGCGGCGTCCATCGGACGCCAAAGAACGTACGAGATGGCGCCGCTTGTAAGATGGCAGGTCTGCCCGTGGTGCACTGAACGCACTTTTTGAGCATCACCTCTGGGGAACGTGTCGGATGCCACAATGCTTGATGTCAGCTTCCTACTGGATCATGGTGTCCAACTCCATTTGTTGAAAAGCTTCCCACTGGTTCAATCAGATTGGCTTGACAAATGGCAATTGATCTTCAGTGTGTTTTGTTTGGTATTTTCTGTGCTCCCAAAAACAGGTTGTGACAATTGATGTTCATTTGTTCCATTCTGCGTGCTCCAAAGAAAACATATAGGGTCCCCTCGATTGTCTTTAGCGGGTCCCATCAAGGCGTCAAGGCGCCGCCCAAGCCCTGCAGGCCATAGCAGGCTTCATTGCGGGGACTTCGGTCCCCCTTGATCCCGGCTGCGGAGTCTGGACGCCGGGGCAGAGAACAGCCGACAAGGGCAAGTGGGAGCCTCAGAGAGACGGGGGCTTTTCCCTATGCTTCGCCTTAAAACATCATCTCATGGGCAAAAAAGCTGATGTTTAAAGCCCACAAGAAGGGAAGTATAGGAACCCCTCAATAAAGGTTGCCGAACATCTTCGCAGACAAGAACGTTTTGCGAAGTCTAAAGGTGCAACACGGTGACATTTGGGGCACCAAATTTTGAGCCACGGCCAGATCCCCGTCCCACACGGTTTTCGCGGTTGAACAGTGCCTCGTCCACGGCTGGAGGAGTCCAACACGATTTCCCCCGCCCACAGCTGAGGGCGTACCATCCGGAAGAGCTCTTGCCTTGGTGCAGCTGGATCCGTACATAGGACTTGCTTGAGCACACCATCTGTCATCGCTGTCTTTCGCTTCAAAGAACTAGCCACAGCGAGGGAGGGAAGGGGAGGGGAGGGGAGGGGAGGGGAGGGGAGGGGAAGGGAAGGGAAGGGAAGGGAAGGGAAGGGAAGGGAGGGGAAGAGAGAGAGAGAGAGATTATTCTCTTATATAGCTTTTTCGAGAGTTTGCGCGCAAGTTTCACGCAGGTTTCGCACACGGAAATGCAACAAAGGAAAAGCCAACGCAAGCTTGATACTGCACCGTGCTTGCACACGGCGGCTGCATGACTGCAAGAGCTGAACACCATTGACGCAGGCCTTCCCACCCTCCCACGCCAAGCTGAGCCGCGTCTCGTTGGAGCCCCCAACGTCGCCAGGCCTCAGCACGCCGGGCCGCACCTGGCATAATGCTAAACGTGGAAGGAGCTTCTTTTCTTGTTGATCTCAATATTTCCGGCGCCTCGGCCGAGCAAAAAAACTCGATAGTTCTCAAAAAAGCCAGGGGGGAGCGCGGGGGGCCCTGGGGCTTTGCCCGCACGCGGCTTCAGCGGCCCATCGAGGCTGGCACCTGAGGTTCCCCAAGGAAGCCTCGGAACATGAACTCGATGCCATTGGGTTGAAAACCCAACCAACCCAACCCAACCCAACCAACCCAAACTCCATTTGAGCCCACCCTGGACCAATCCTAAACCGACCCGCCCAAAGCAACCGCAAACACACCCTAGACCAGCCTTAACCCAACTCTAAACCTACCCATATACCCCGCACGCCACCCTAAACCCATAACTCTGAACCCCAAAACCCACCTTAAACCACCCTACAGCCACCCCAAACCTAACTTGAACCAACCCTAACAGACCCCGAAGCCCACCCTAAACCAACCCCCCAACGCACCCTAAACCTGAACCCAACCAGAACCAAAAGCCGCCCTAAACCAACCTGAACACCCTAAACCTGTTTCACCAAGGCACCCGCCAAGTATCCTCGTGAAGGTGGCGGTTCATGCACCAAGGACGTCCAGGATGACGGTAACCCTGTCCGCACCCCTACACCCATCCTGCCCTGAACCCATAACCTGCCCACCCCAAACCCATGCTACTAAACCCAACCTAAACCTAGCCGAAGCCCCCTAAAGCCTAGGACCTTGAACCGACCTTGAACCCCGTAAGCCTTCAACCCAACCAACACTGAACCCCACCCTAAACTACCAGAACCACACAAAACCCACCTTAAGCCCACCTTAATCCTCAACTAAACCGACCTTGCGCCAACCCAAGCTCCATCTGACCCTCTACCTAAGCCCCAAACCACCCCAACCAAACCCGCGCCAAACCCACCCTAAAGCAGGCCCACCCCGAACCCCCAACCACCCTAAACCCTAAGCGCGCCCTAAACCCACCTTAAACCACTCCAAAGGTGACCGGAACATGGAACGGAGAAAAATCCCAAAAGCGCTGGAAAAAAATCCCGAAAAAAAGGTCGGCCCCTGGAAAACATCCCGGATCCACCTTTCCCCGAAAGGTGAAATATATAGACTATCTGGAGTTTTATTGTAGGACTTGGTTCCATTTAGCGAGGCATTCTGGGAGCTTCCGGCTGTTAGCCTGGAGTGTAACTCTGCTTCTTTGGGCCCTGAGTCCTGCAGTCATTTTTGTACAATCATCTTTGGAACCTCGTCCTTGGACCTGACACCCATGTTTCAGGTTCGTTCCCACCAAAAAACCTACCCGTCGCACCAGCAAGTCTGCTTCCCTTTGGGGTTTTTGGATGGTCCAGTGACCACTTTGGCACTTCCCCGAGCCAGGGACCAGTAGCTGCGACTGCAAGCCGCCTGAGGCCTGGCCAGGACGCATGGGAACTGTACCACATAACCCCCCTACCTTAAGGGGGAGGGGGGTGGGGGGTCCCCAATTCCATGTTTTAGTGTTCCCCATACAGGGAAAATGGAAAATGGTCTGATCCTTGCGTCTTGCTGAGAAGAGTGCATGCCCACATGCAAGGTTTACATTCTCGCGGAGCTCATGATATTTGCCAGGCATGTGCGGAAAAAGCACGTTCCACTTTACTTTCAGAATGGCTTCGATCGGCATTCTCTATGCATCACACCTGCGTCCAGGCGAGCATCAGCTCTACAACACTATGGTCTTGCACCGCCACAAAGCAAAGCAAGCCCCAGCCTTCAATTTGTTTCAGGTGATCTGAGCTTGCAGCTTGCTCATTTCGCCAAAAGCGAACCTACCTTCACATGGCAAACGGCACTATTCATGAACCGCGCAAATGGTTCCGGAGGTCTGCTGCCCCGAGCTTCTCTCCCACAACAACCTATGTACCCACGTTGCCTGGCGACTTCTCTGCCAAGCTTGCTCTCCATATGATTGCCCCATGGGCAGTGCCCGCCTCAAGCCTCTCCTCCCCCCCCACGTCTCCAAGCACGTCGTTGCCCATGCGACTCCAAAGGTGACCCATAAATCTTCCACGGCAATGCGCTGATGGAAATCCGGATGCCAGGTGGGTATATGACTCAGAAACATGCCTGACCCCTTCTGCTGGCTCACCCAAATGCGAAACCAAAGAAACCTACGCGGAAAAGTGTCGCCATTTGGCAGCCACGGTTCCTCAGCCCTTTGTGGTGATCTCCAAGAGGAATCCGGATTCACGTTTAGGGAGGGCCACATACTCTGGCATGCTCAGGGGCAGGGTAGGTGACATAAATGGCCAGCAACCACGGCCATAACCCGCCAAAGCCATTTTTGGACGTCCCAGCTCTATGGGCTGCAACCTTGGCGACGAACCGATCTTCCTCAGACACCCCCCAGCCGTTTCCGTGGACGCTTGACCTACGCCCCACTGCGCGCCTGCGGCAGATGCCCCTGCAGCGCACTCACCAGGTTCGAGGCGAAGTCCGGAGCCGCGGGGGCCGTCACCTGGCCCGAAATCGGACCTGATGTGTTATATATATATATATAATTAATGATTAGTAAAAAGTCAGTGAAGAAGAATGATTCTTAGAATCAATGATTAGTGTAAAAAGTCAGTGAAGAAGAGAAGGAGATAATAAGATGCAGAATTGATATGAAGAAGATATGAAAGCAATAATAAAAAGATAAAGACCCGGTTGGGACCAGGCCCTTCGACGGACAATGCCTGGCTGTCTCAGCTGAATCTTGGGAAGGGGGGGGGTGACTCAAGTTTCAATAAGCAACCCAAAAGGAAATAAACCGCTTCAGGAATGCATCCTCAAATCGAACTCAAAGGAAACCCAACCCTTGGAAGAACTCCTCGGCTTAGGAACGCCAGCGTGAATTTCGACTTCAGGGCCGGCACACACACACACACACACTCACTCACACACACACACACACACACACACACACACACACACACACACGCACGCACCCAAGTGCCGACACTTGCCAATCAATCAAAAGATCCCACTCGTTTTTCGGCCAGCCTGGCCGGGCATGACCTCAGTTTCAAGGTCCGTTGCAAACTCGTGCATGCCCCTTCTCTGGTCCTCAAGGAAACATCACCCCCACCAAGGGGTACTCACCTTTCAGGGGCCAAAAAGGTGATGTTCAAAACAGCCAAAAAGTGGAAATATAGGGACCCCCTGGGAAAGGATTCACTAAAAACCAGACCCCTCCGCAAATCGGATTTTAAGTTAGCCCTCCGCGCTTCCCTTCCTCTCCTTTGGACAGGTGAGGCGGGAATCAAGGCGGACAACAGCTACCGGCCCCCCTAAGCTAAGCCCGGCACACCAGGGAAGGTCTGGCAAAGCGTCTCTTCAATGTGAGGGGTTGAAGGGCACCCCAGCAAAGAAACCTGAGTCATAACCAAAACCCGGTAATAAAATGGCCTAGCCAGAGCCATGTAAAGAATTGAAAAGGCGGCCGCAACTATTTATGGCTGGGAGTCTCCCTTACTAACCTCCATCTACCCGGGTTTTGATTGTGGCGCACCTGGTTCTTTCCGAAAGGAGTGTGGTCTTTTACAATGGGCCTGGCTGTGCACTCGCATGTTGCTGCTGGATTGAACTTTATACATTCGATGTTGCGCATACACTGCATGTACCTGTCACGTTCGCCCTGGTGGTCTCTGACATGAAGGCACGAACCATAGCCAAGAGCCCTTTGAATGCTGGGCATCCTTCCAATTCAAGGCAGAACCCCCTCAAAGGGTCGATGGTCATGAGCCACCGTTGCAATTATTCCTAAGGGGCCAAGCCTGTCAGCCATAAACCTGCGACACACCACGTGCAGCATTCAAAATTTTAAACGCGAACACATCTGCCCAGGGGTCGCCCCTTTGTAACTGCGGCCCTCTTCCTTCATCGTTTCAGCTACATGCTGGCCCAAAATTCACAAGCCAGCCCACGGAGTGGAGCGTGCAAGGACTACGAAAAGTGAATCCCCTCTAAGGTACAACCCCGAATTTGCCACAAGTTCACCGGTTCCCATCCACCAGCCCTCCCTCACGAGCTCTCGCCTGCACCATCGGCAGCCTGGGAGAACCACTCAATAGCAACCTCCTCACCAAACAAACAGCCCAAGTGCCTCACAAATCAGCCATTCGAAGCGTGGCTATTCGTGGCTCATTGACAAGTGTGGAAAGACATGCCGAACGCGAGGAAGCTTTTTTTTCTCCACAGCAGGGCTACTTCTCGGAAGGCAAGCAGCTTCTGCCTGGTGTAACTCTCGAGGGGGTCTCTCCGGCAGCTCTTCCCTCAAACCCACCGCTCTGCCAGAGCGGGGCCAAACTCCCGCCCAAATTTGGATGTCTCGCAGTGGGAAGTTCACTGCCAAAGTGGAAAACTAGTAAGGAACACACAATCTTATTGGCCATGAGGGTCCCTAGTTTCAGGACACGCTTGAAGCTGCTCATGGCTATTTTCAACAAAGAGTCTATTGCTTGCCCTGTCATATTTACCACTCTTGATGTAAAGTGGATGGAAGCATGATGAGATCCCCCCCTGCCCCAAATAGAAAGACCGCTTCAACAGTGATAAAGGGGATTGCGTACACTTCCGGAAGTAAGGATCTCGAGCGGCCTTCAACAGAAGAACCTCCAGCCGCCCGATCCAGAAGCAACCTTTCTATTTATTTTTGTCCGTTTCCACCGGAGTTTCTGGATCCTGACTTTGGATCTGGTTATTTGTCCACCTGGGTTTCTGGTGATTTTGGATCAACAACCGCAAAACGCGCGCCGATCGGCTCGTCCATTTCCTCGAATCAGCTGGGTGCGCGGCGGCATGGGCGCCATGCCTGGCATCCCGGGCATCGGCAGCCCCGGTAGCCCGGGCACACCCGGCACCTCGGCGCCACAGCATGCTGAAGTCCCTTCACTGGTTGCTGAGTTGTTTTGCTAAGTTGCCATAAGATGTTGATAATTATGCGAGTCAAACGTTTAAACAAAAGGAACCGTCAATGCTCAAATGTGACTAACATGTAAAAAGAAGAAGGGGAAAAAAAGCAATGCCAAAATGCGATTTTAAGATGGCTCATGAAACATCGAATGCCAAAGTCCACATGACTCGCTGCCCCGCTTCCCCAAGGCCGAGGCCAGCATCATGGGCCTCATGCCTGGCTGAGGTATGGCCCGCCCGCTACCCTACGTGACGCATGGAACCCTTCGACGTTTGGGGGGGCGTCCTGGTTTAACCCATCTTCCTTTTAAAGGGAAGGGTCCCGGTCAGAAACCCAGCTGTTCATTGGGTAAATCAAAGCCTTGTTTGATGGAGGTGCCGCCGTTGGACCAGAACTTCCAGGCATGCCTCGTTGAGAAGTGCTTCGAAACCGATCCGCCGTCATTCTGCCCATCCCAAGCCGACCCCAGACCCCCCCCCCCACATGCATCCACGCCTGGGGCGCCAAACATGGCCTGGCGCTTCTTTTGGGCTTCGCATGTGTTCCGTTTCCCTCGTAAACCACCCAAAGCGGGACTGATTTTCAGGCGATCGCCCGGGCGATCGATTGATCTCGTCCAGGTCCAAGGCGTTTTTTTGCATTGGACGCACCCTCAAGCACAGCCCCTTACCAGGACCAGTTTTAGCACGGCCCAGGTCTTCCAATGCCCTTCCATGCGACTGAAACGGAAAAGTTGCCGATCCCCCAAACCTTGTCGCTCAACCTCCGATTCATAACCGCCTTTCAAGCAGCCAGCTGCCCCAAATGCTCCCTCCTTCCAAACCGGCACGCCGAGTTGTTTTTTCCCCTCCGCCAGCTCAGTAGCCGGCCGCCGCTTTGTGCTTAGCGCAGCGGCTCTCTGAGTCCACGCCCATGTGGTCCAGCACGCGGCGCAGCGTATTGCGCCGGCACCAGATGGCCGCGGGGTCCAGCGGCAACACCATGGCCTGACGGTGAAACAAGGCGGACTATGACGTGACTCGACTAAGATCTTTCTGAAAAACATAGCTTTTTATCGTAGAAACACCTGCTGAAAGGTATCGGAATGATTCCCACCCGCAGGTTTGGGCATGCATGGCAGGCATGCGCGTCATGGTGCCGTCTGACCGGGCACATGTGACACGAGCCGCACGAAAAGTGTGCTGGAGGCCCTGAACAAGTTGTCAAGTTGATAGTTGGCCCAAGCCTCTTCAAGAGTCGCTTGACGCAAACCCGCAAAGTGCTTGGGATTTGCATCCCTCAGAGGCGCAGGCGATTGAACTGCGGGCGGGCATCCGCCCCACATATTATCAAACAAAAAAAAAGATAGGGGTTTTGGGTGTTGCTTGCACTGGCTTGTCCAAGCGGGGGGGGACCGCTTCTCTTTGATTTCCTTTGAACAGCAGCAGTAAGAATGAAGCAATGGTTCCTAAACTTGAGTGCACACACGTTAGGAATCTCCCAAGGATTGTCCCAAATGTCAGCCCCTACCCACACACCCCGGGCACTTTCTGCCCAGTGGGCAGAAAAAAGAAGGAAACGATGCATTTCTGGCCGGTGGGGCTGCACAAAATGAGTGGGGAGGGCCACTTGTTTCTTTGGGAAGTTCCTGGCATGTCTCAGAGAACATCGGGTGGGTCCGTCCGCAACACAAAGCCCGAGGAATCAAAACACATGACGTCTGGCATAACCGGCTGGCATAACCGGCTGGCAGCCCATCCATTGGTATTTAACAGCTACGAATCACCCAAGCAACTCCCTCGGTCGGTGCTAACAGAACCCTCTGCCTTGCGCATATCCCCAGTGAACTTCATGTAAAGCGTGGGGTCGTTGATGAGCTCGGCCGCGAATTCCTCGTCCACCCGCTCGAAGATCCGCTGCCTCGTCTCTGTCATGTTCGCCTCAATTGCAGCTCGACTGCGCAACTCCGGAAGCCGAGTTCGAAAACTCGGCCTCCTCTCCGGAGCCCAAAACCAACAATTCAAAGGAGCCGAGCCCACGTTCCCATGGTCCAAGGTTGTTTGTTGTTTTCTTCGGTTTTTCCTCTTTTTTTCTAAAAAAAAATGAAAAAATAAACAAATAATAATAATAACAAGGAAAAAAAAGCACGGCGGCTTCCTGACCATGGCCTTCAAACATCCAAGGCCGAGCCCAAGCTCCCAGTACAAAGCAAAAAACACATTCACGTCTTCTGACTGGCCGCCATCCAGGCGAAGCCCAGCTGGCCCGTGGGGTTGCGGACCTGCACCCGCGGGCTATGCCACCACTTCCACAAGGCCCCGTCTTCGAAGATGGTCCTGGCGCCATGGAATTGCCTTGCGACGCACACGCGTGGACCACGCGGGCGCGCGAGGGTGTATTTTCCCCTTCCTTTTCCCTGTTTTTTTGGTCTTTCGAGGGCGAAGAAACGACGAACAAAAAAAGGCGACCCGGTTTGCTCGGAGGGTAGCTCTCGCACCCGTCCGCAACCCCCGTCCTGAACATGCAGGCATCCGTAGAGAGATAGGACCGAATGCCCAGGCGCGGCAAGATCTCCAGCTGCTGTTGTGTGAAGAGGCCTGTGAGCCTGACGTCATCGCGACTGACCTGAGCCGGCACTGCCAAGAAAGGCCAAAAGGCTGAGGGGCGTTTGTGTACCACACCCTGGGGGCGTTCAAGATCATCAGCATCATCTATGCAAAGAGCTTGGAAGTCACTTTCAGAACTGACCTCCAGTGAACGGCGTCATAACTTGTTGGCCCCAACCCTGAGGTTCGCCCACCCCCCCCAACACTGTTTAGGGCTTGTGCTGGCTATTTTAGGGCCTGCTGACCCCACCAACACTGTTTCAGGGTTTATGTAAGCTTCATGCAGGCCCAACCAACACGTTCTAGGGTTCATGTTGGGCCCACAAACGCTTTTAAGGGTTTAAGTTGGCCCCCCGACGCCTTTTCAGGCTTCTGTTGACCCCACCCACACTTTTCGGGTTTGTGCTGCCGCCACCAATACCTTTCAGGGTTTATGTAACATCTTTTAGGGACTTTTGTTGGCCTCACCAACACCATTTCGGGCTTATGTTGGCCCACCAACACTTTTTCAGGGTTTACACTGGCCACCAACACTGTTTTAGGCTTATGTTGGCCTCCAAACACATTTTAGGGTCTTGCTGGCCCCACCACCCGCTTTAGAGCTTGTTGAGCAAAGTCCCCCAACCCCGCCCACCCGCATCCGGGAAATTCACCTGAAGAAAAGTCTTGGGACACACAATGGCGCAGGTCTACCACTTGGCACCTCGCAAAGACCAACACCGATCAACGGCGGCAAGCGCCACAGCGCCACAGCGGCACGGCTGCCTTGCCGGGCCACACCGGCCAGAAACTGCCAAACACACTCCTTCAGTCTCAGCATGAAGAGGTCCCCCGGCGGGGCGGCAAGAAACCAATTCTGCGGGTGGTCCAGCCAGGTCACCCGCGTGTCCTCAGCTGAAGTGTGCTCAACCCCCCAAAATACCTGCCGCATGCTTTGCAAACAGTGCCAGGCGTCGTTATCTTTCAACGACTGGTCTGTCCAGGGATAAGGCAGCGCATAGAAGGTTCTCACCTGCATGTCGCTGCCCAGGATTTTGTCCAGCGGCTGTGTCATGAGTGTGGTCGCATCTGCCCACACACCCCCGTACTTGCAAATCAAGGCAATTCCTGAGCTGCAATGTGCACAAGTAAAATGCGACACTTGCGTGGGCAGGCTACACCACATGACGAAAGACCCAAAAATCAGAAGGATGCAGTAGGAAAAGTACTCAATTAGTCAACTGGACTGTCCAACACGTTTCTGATTTCATGCACTCGCATCACGTCCTCACAAGCAAGGCACTCACAGCATCTGACTGGTGCTGGATGCTGAGGAAAGGGAAGGAGTGCGGAAGCTCCTACGAGAGGCCCCAGCCTTCCGTGCGGTCCCCCCATCTGGACGCGTCGTTTCTCTCAGATGTGGGAGTGGCTCTATGAACCTTCTGCCGAATAACTCCAGACAGGGAGTGCCCCCTGCCATGCCAAACATTCCTATTTTCCTTTGCCTCAAACTGGGAGGCTGCAATGCCCCTTTAGTCCTGCAATTGCTTTGCAATATGTCCAAAACCTGCCAAGTAAATGATCTTTACCATGGTGAGCTCATTTTAGCTCGCCATAAATTATGCACCTTAGCTTCCTAAGGGGGGGGGGGGGGTATCCTGGATAACCCTATAAGCCAAGGATAGGCCCTTGGAAAGGCCTTAAGGGGTAAACAAGGGAGCTACGCCCCCCCCCCTCCCCAGCTCGCCCCCCTGCATGGTTGGTCTTCAAAGGAATCCATTTTTCACTGCGCGAAGATCTCTCGTATTTTTTTCCAGGGGCTCAGCCCCCCCTTTTCGGCCCTCCCCATAGCCCTACAGGTCCATGTCATTTACTTGGTTGTCGTTGGAAGGGGAGCAAACAACTATCAACTTTAACAGTAAAGTGGGTTGGATTTCAACCACTAAACCACAAATAACCAAAAATGCAACATGTTTCCCAGCAACAACCATGAAACATATGTACCAAAAAAAGAAGAGACCATGTAAACCACGTACATGTAAACCACGTACATGTAAACCAAAAATGCCAAAAAAAAACATGTTTCCCAGCAACAAGCAGGTCCATGACATGTAAACCCCCGCAGCGCCGCGCGGCGCGGGCTCCTCCAGGCTCAGCAGCTCGCTGACCTCCGCGTTGTCCAGGACCCGGACCTCGTAGTCCGGGTTCAGCGCCTTCCAGGTCGCCGTGCAGGCCTGCCGAAGGCCCCCGTCCTCCCCCCCTCCCAAAAAAAAAAAAAAAACGAAGAAAGAGAACAACTGATAGGACCGAACATAAATAAAAAAACAGAAACGAAACATTGAACATGCTGAGAGAGAGATTCCTCTGAGCTCGTTTCAAGCCTTGGGTGCTCGAAGCCTCTTTTGTTCAGAACTCGGGCCGGACTTGCACCCGGCGTGGAGTTTGTGGTGCCGAAGCGCGAATCACCCGGACGGGCACGCTCTGATCTGGAGGCGAAATGCTCTGGCATGTGAGAGGGAAGTGGCGAAGTGGCGAGTACTGTGCAACTAATTCACTAGAGTAGACGAGGCGAATCGCCATGGTTTGCTCGGGCGAATCACCTTTCCACACCTTTGGTCCGGTGTCGCCTTTTTGACGGAGTTCAAACCCGGGTGACTTGAAGCGTCTTTCCCCTATTGCCCGTTCAACTCGGTGCAAGCTGCAAGGGAAACCCAATGAGGCCAATCAAAGTTGAGAACTGGTCATGGAAAAAAGGAAATCTCCAACTCCCATCTCCAACTGGCTCCATTTCTTCGTGGCAAATCTCCCATCCTCGGTTTGTTGTTTTCGGTTTATGGGGGTCATTCCAACTCCTTCCCTGCCTTTAGAACCAGCCAGTTTGGTTGTTCCCTCATCGTTCCGCAGATTTCAGAATCATCCCAAAACCTGATTTTTCTAGGAAGATTTGGGAGAGAAGGATGCCTGGAAAAAATGGAAATGGAAGGTACCCCTAGACTTTCAGCCGATCCCCAGGTAAAGGATCTCTTCATCCTCGCTTTACCCCCCGGTCAGCTCGCTCGCTCGTTCTTGCGCCCGGGAGCGCAAAATTCGGCTCGGCTCCGGCGCCTCCACGAAGAGGGTCTCAGACTCGGGGGACCCCGGCAGCGACTGCCAAAAGGAAAAGAGGACCTTTGGGATCGGCATCTGCTCACCCTGGTAGGCCGTCCTGGAAAAACGGGGTTCCGACCCCGAACCCATTTCGGGAGAAGAGGAAAAAATAAAGGAAAAAAGCACCCCCATTTCGGGAGGAGGAGGAAAAAAAAAGGAGCCTGGAAGAAGCCACAAAAAAAGGAGTCGGACCAATGGTGCTTTGGTGACCTGTTGGTAGTTTCTCTTTCTTGTTGCACGTCTCAAGTTCAAACAAAAGGACACGTCAAACGCAGTGTGAAATCCTTCAAAATTGCCCTTCAAATGGTGGCCTTTGGGGCAACAACTTCAATCATGACTTTGAGAACCCCTAGAAAATCTCACCTTGAAAACAAAAGCCAGTGAAACCACCTGCAACCTCCCCCCCTATCCCCCAAAACGGCAAGGCCATTTTGGAGGCTCCGTGTGTCGCGGGCCAGGGGGTGGCGCCAGAAGCACTTGGTGTCCAGCGTGCCACCCCGCGCGGCGCTGGGCCGGAACAGCCCGTCGGCCAGAATGAAGCAGCTGCTGCCCTGCACCTCACTCAGACTGTCAGATAGGTATGGGTCAAAATTCGAATCGCACCCCCAGTTGGTACCATTGGTTTGGGTATGGGTATGGGTCAAAATTCAACCACCAAGATATGGACCGCAGGTTTTAGTCCTTGGCTCTATTAAATCCAAGTAGACCCACCGATTCGTTCAATGCCTCGGAAGCCGGGCCTCGTAGCCAGTGCAGGAAGGCACCATTTGGCAGAGTTTGGTGCACTCGGGGCTCGAGCCATCTGCCAGCAGCTGCGAGCTATACCGCAGGGTTGCGCCCGCGAAGTGCTCGCCACGCCTCAAGACACGTGCGACGCTTCTGGGACGGACTGCTTCATGCCTTGGGCGACCTGCAGAAGAGCTCTTTGTTGGGGGGGGGGGGGGTGAGGAGCCAAGAACAGTACTTGGGAAAAGTGTCGCATCTGGAATCATTGACAATAGGGCGGTAAGCCAACCTGGAAAATTCGCCGAGCTGGAAAGCCATCTTGAGCTGATATCGGTTTCAACAGGGTTACCTCCACGACACATCTGCGATTCCGGTCCCGGCCGCTGGTTGATGCAGGCCCCCGGCCCCAGGAACACGAACTCGTCCGGCACGGAGCCGTCCGGGAGGATCACGGAGAAGTTGGGAAGCTGCACCTGAGAAATCGCCGGAAATCGGAAGGTGGGTTGTCTCCTCTGCAGCTCGGCATGGACTTTGCCAACGCGGAGGGGGGGCGGAGGAAAGGGGGGGGAAAGAGCCCCCCAGCGAACTGCCAGTGTCACTGCAAGGGACCCTTGCCAAGTCCGGAGCAAAGCTTGCTGGTATGAACCCCGAAAACCCCTTCAAACAAAATGAAGGATTGTTTTATAGGCGTCATTCCCTCATTCGCTGCTGAGCACCAGCAAGAATGACAATTTTGAGGACTCCTGGCCAAGTCTCCACCAAGGGCGCCGCTGTGCTGGTACTGCTTCTGGGCGGCAACGTTTGTGCAGTCGGGAGTCGCTGAGGGGCGACCGTCCCGGGCGCTGTCCAAGTGGAATTCCTCGGTTCATCGGGTGGGTGATCCCGCTGCCGGCTGGTTTTTCTGATTCCTAGCTCACGCCCGCGGGTTCTAAAAGTTCTGGGCTGATTCAGCTGCAAGAAAAGTTCAAATGGGTTGGGTCTCGTTTGTCAAGCGCGGGAATGACGTCCACCCAAAATCAGCCCCCGCAGCCACCCCTGATCAAGCCAACTCACAAACGGCCACCAACCCAACCACCAAAGCTGTCGGCCAACAAACCAAGGTCTGCCAGTCAAGGCCAAGCAACAAAAAGCACTCCTCCTTCCACAGTGCGCATACCATAATGAACATCCTGTTTGCTTTGAAATGCCTGCAAGACAGTCCTTGCAAAGATCAGTGAGCCAAGCCGCATCAGGGCGTGCACGCACGAAGCGCCCAGAAGGAGCAGCCAGAACAGCACGCAAGCCTGGGGCAAGCGAGGAAAAAAAGCCGCGTTTGGTAGAACAATGTCCCTTCTGGGCAGAGTTCCTCTGCGTGGTACAAATGTGCCTGAGCCACTGTGATTAAATCAAATCCTGCCCTGGTTGTTAAGTTGCTTTCTCCCAGTTTTTTGCAGGATTTTGTCCAACCACAGCATTTCTTCTGGCGCAAAGAGCGCAGAAACAAGGCGCATATCGCCATATTGCATGGTCTTTGCAATGGAGGACTGCTTTCTCACTCAATTTCTGTTGCTCCCGGCAATTTGATGGTCGCTGGTAGGTAAGGTGTGCGCCATTTTGGGGGGAACTCTTCCCCCTTGGCCTATTGGTCTGCTAGGTTGATTCATCTGGTGTCGCCATGAAGTGCCAAACCAAAAAAAAAAAACGTCCTGCTTGCCTTAGTGGGGCCAACCAACAGTTCAATGTTCAAAGAAGATTGTTCAAACAAGCTCCGTTTTGGCCTCCTAATGATGAGAAAGGAGAAGCTCCTTTCGACCTCCAAATGAGAAACGCACCAGGGGCCGGTTGTCCAAACGCACGGCCATGAGTTTTAATGGGGAAACCCCCTCCCACATGGGTGGTGGACACAAATCCTCACCTACATGATGTCCCAATTTAGGGCCCCTCATTAACATTTGCACCCACATCTTTCCTGAAGGGACGCCCTTCGCCCCTTCCGCGCCGCGGCGCCAGCTGGCACTTCTGGCTCACCGGCTGGCGCGCTTGGCCGTCATCCAGGCGGGCAAAGGCGGCGCTGGGCCGCATCAGCCACGCATCGGTCGAAGGGGGCGGTTCAGGCACTAAACCACCGAAAGCTGCGTGCGAAAGGGCGGTGCTTTGGAAAACTTTGGAGATCGGAGAGCTGTGTCTGGCTATAATTGGCTGCGGCTGTCTAGGTCAGCGATCTGGGTACTTGGTGCTTGAAGGCTTGGAGTGATGGCGGGGTCTCTGCCTGTGGTGGATTCATACCGCGCAGTGCGACAGGCAATCTGCTGGTAACTGGAAACGCGGCACGCATAGAAGCGAGTTGCAGACACGGCACTTGCTGATGCCAGGCGTGTAGGAAAGTCAGCTCGGAACCCGTTTCTTCCAGCCATCTCTTCTGTTGGTCTGTAGGCTATTCGCGTACTCCGACAGCCCGCGGCCGAAATTTTTCACTCACAGCCGACCCCCCGGCTCCGAGTTCTGAGTTCCCGGCCTTCCACTGACCACCTGCCAAAGCTCAAAGCTCGGGATGTGCGACATACGCGGGCGCACAGGCGTTCCCGCTTGAGTCATAGTCAAAAGCCACTATTAACCATGTAAAGAAATAAGGCGGCCGCAGCTATTTATGGTTGGGATTCCCTTGCTAACCTTCATCTACCAAAGGGTTTTGATTGTGGCTCACTTGTACAGAAGCCCCAGCCTCGGCCTCAACTGCCTAGCAGCATCGCGCCGGGCCCGCAAGTCTGAGCCAGCCTGTGACAGCTTTGTCGACTGCAAGCAGCGCCCCCCCCCCCTCATCACTGCCAAAAACATTTCGTTGAGTTCAGAGCCAAATCCGCCAAAAAAAGAAAAGACATTGGAGCTGTGGGCCGGCAACGACTCTGAAGCAAGATCACTTGGCAGCTCGCCCCATCCCAGCCCTCGCTTTTCCTCTTCCTCGCCCTCAAGGGGCACCCCGTGCAGAGGCTCACACGGCCCGCGGAGCCGGGGACCAGGCCAAAGGCCCAAGAAGCGTATCCTGCGCCTTCCATGGCCAAAACTCTTAAAATGGGTTTGTGCTTTTCTCAGCCCTTTTTGGTTTCCCTTTGGTTTCCCTGTCGGTCTCCCTTACCTTCTTTGGCTCAGTTCCTGGACATGTTGGCCTGCCAGCTATGACCGACCCTTGAATTCCATGCGGTGAAACAAGGTCGACGTCGCGCGGGCCAGGAGACACAAAGGCCGACCAGAGAGTCAAGTGGATAAAACGGCGAATATTTTTGTTGACGCGAGCAAAGACTTCAGGGCTGCGAAGAGCTCAGCAAACCGTGTTTGTTGCTGCAACTTGTGTTTGTTGCGACTTGTGTTTGTTGCTCCCTGCCTGCGCAGGCAAGATTTCATAACAGTGGCTTGACTTCTCCGCGCGAAAAACTCACACCAAGCATCTCCGGCAAGCACGTCAAGCAGCTATGTTCTTCGTCTGCTTGAGGAATGACCTGGGCCAACCCAACGCTCCGCGCGAATGGCTTCTCGCCGATTCAATCGCCGAAGCCTGAGGCCCACAAACTTGAGGAACGCGGTAGGATAGATTCATACCCACCAGTTGCATGTTTGCTGGGCAATCCCAGCAGGCCCTATATTGCAACACCAGGTCTGGGGACCGCTCAAGCTGGATGCAGCTCAATGGTCAAGCAAAGCATACTTGCAAAAAACGAGGCACTCCAAGGCAGCCAGGGTGTGATTTCAGAACCGGCCGGTTTGTCAATGTCCTTGATGTCAGATCATGTTGTATCCCTCGTTTTAAAAACACCACGGAACCCAAGAAACTGTTTCTGCTTTTGGGCCCCCATTTGGTAATTCGTTGTTGTTTGGAGATAGCCCTGAGGCTCGCGCTGAAGCGCCTGCAGCCTCGCGTCAATGTCGCAGGCCTCGTCCCCGGCCGCGCTGGCGCCTGCGCCAGAGCCCGCGCCGCCCGCAGCGCCTTCGGCGTCGACTTCGCCCGAGAGCGCGCCACTTTGAGTCGAGACAACGGTTTGGATGTCGCATATCTGTGAATCCACCCCGGTAGGATATTAGAAGAGTACAAAAAGAATTCTACAAAAACCAAACGAACGCGGGGAAGAAAACTCGGTGAAATCCACACGCGCCAAATCCAAACCGTAGATGGCTGCGAAAGAGCACTCTCGAGGCCTGAAAGGGCAACAATTAAAGCTCATCGTCACATTTGCTTCGCTCGTCTGTGCGCGAAGTGTGCGGCGCCAGATGTTGAGCGTAGCAAAAAAAAACACGCATTCCACAACTCTGGCAGAAAGTTGAAAGTCACAGGCCGTTTGGATCTTCAATTGCCACACGCGTTTCCACGCCGAACGGAATATCTCGCAACTGCAAACCAAAATCAAACACGAAACGGGACACCGCATACCAGGCATACCAAAAAAGTCACCACCGAGCTGCGAGGCGCGGTTTGGGTTGGCTCCAGCGTCCTTCCGGCCCCGCCGGAGGCGCAAACCCACCCAGGGGCCTGCGCCGAGCCCCAGGTTGGCCGCGAGGCCAAAGAGGCTCCCGGGCCTTTGCTCCGAGTGCGACGTGCCTTTCAACACTTGGGCATCTCTCAAGCGGAGCCAACCCCCCCCCCCAACCCCCCCGGACAAACCCACATCCCTGCGGCACGTGCAGCTTGCAAACAAAAAACGCTGACCGCGCGCAAAAAGAAAGGCATCCAGCTCCCACATCTGACTTGTGGAAATTGAACACTTGGAGATTCCCAAACCTGGACTTGCAGACCCTTTTTTGTAGGGGAGTCCCCCATCAAACCACGCAAGCCACCCATCAGCACAACACGCAACAAGGCAAACCGAACCCCACGTAACGAGAACCATGCCCGCTGAGCGCATTAAAACATTGACCGGGTGAATTTGGGGAGAGCAACAATGCCCACATCAGCTCCCAAGCCCAGTTGCTGGTGTGCAGCCTCTGGTGCCTGCCAGCGACTTGGCTCAGACTGGGGCTTGGAGCTTGATAAGTTGATGGGTCGGTGCCATGCGTTCAAACCTCTCACAAGGGAAGGGGAAACATGCAGATAGACACCCTGCAAAAAAAGACCACCTAAAGACCTAGGGCTGGGTGCCGGCGACCGTCCAAGAACACATCCCGACTCACATATCCCCGCACTACACTACGCGCTATGTGTCAAAACAGGGGGACATCTCTCCAACGGCTCCGTGGTTTTCCTTTCAAACAAGACGATGGAAGACACGCCAAAGCGCCTGTGGTGCGGCCGGCGCTGTGACTCCTGGCCGGCATCTCACCCTCCTAGCGTCAGCTAAGGAGCCTGGGAGGGTCAAGACAGATCTGGCTATGGGTCAAAACTCCACCACCAGGATATGGCACGCAGGTTTGAGTCCTTGCTTCCCTCTACCAGGGCAAGCCTTTTTGGGTCTAAAAATTACCAATTTTTGCAGTATTGAGGGTAACCTCCTGGACGTCAACGCCAATTGTGCACAAAGCCAAGACGGAAAAGGACCCTTGCTGAAGCCTTCCTCTCTTTGTCGGGGCCGAAAACCGCCGGACAAAACCCAAGTGCTTGCGCTCCCTTTTTCTGGAAGACATTGAACATCTGATTGACTGCCTTCTTCAGCATATTGCTTTTTCTTCTGCGCTACCTAGTGCTTTTACCTCGTGTCGAAAGGGCCTCCGTAGCGAGTGGATGGCGGCTTCGGGCTCGTCGTGCTGGCACCTAAGGAAACCACGGGATCTGAAAAAATTGCGTGGCCCGAGGCCCAACAGCCACATCTGCGCAGGAGATCCAAAGACATGCTGGAAATACTTCTCTTCGCTTTCGACGCGTTCCTCACTGGGCCCCCCACCACGCTCCCGTAGGCTCAGCGCCGGCGCCGCGGGCGGCGCCTTGCGTTGAGGCCTAAGTGGGTAGCGGTGGCCGGCCGCGTGCTTCGTGTGAGCAGTGGTGAGGTCCTATGATGCAACAGCGGATTTCATCTGCACGTGAGCTAACCATGGCCTATTGTTGATGAGAATGGTTTTGCCCGGGCCTCTCCTCCAGCCATTGCAACTAGCATTGTAGATTCAGACCTTCATTCAAATTGAAAGCTCAATCGCAACAGGCAATTTTGGTTACGCGCTCCATTTGTTGAAAACGCAAAATTTGACATGTGGGAAGTTACGATTGCTTGTATGTGCGTCTGGGCAAGGGGGAGGAACAATGCTATTCAATGATACCCGCTCAGAAACCCGGGAAGGTGTATGAGCTTCCTCCCCAGGACGCCGCGCGGGCCACGCTGTGGCGAAGGCGTGCGCTCCCTGCTGTTGCTGCCTGGTCTGGCAGGGCGCCTGGCTGGCTGAATCGCTGATAAAAACGGCTATATGAGATTTTCACTGTTCCGGACGGCGGCCGGAAGGGGTGGACAGCCCTCCGGGCCCCCGCCCTCCCCTTCCACTTGGCTCAAGCCTCACCACCTGACCCGTGGCACCCGGGGCATGACTCGCATGCCGACTCGACCCGCGCCTGTACGGCGACATGGTCGAGCCAGGCGAGCAGCTGCGATCGCGGCCTCAAAGTGTTGCACAAAGAGCAGGCGCTGGCGCTGGCCATTTGTGCATTCTTGCTGTGTGCTTCTTGTGATAGTTATGCCATGCATTGGCATTGAGTTTCATTAAAAAAAGAAAAAAATGGTTTCTTTTTCTCTATTAAAAAATTGGAGGGATAGGCAGGGAATGAGAAATAGAATGACTCCTATAAAGAATCCCTTGTGGATTCCTTTAAGGGGACCATTTCCTGGGTTCAGTCCCACGTTCCCTACTGAGCACCAGCAAGTTTTGGAGACAGAGGCTGCATTACGCTGGCTGCGTGACCCGAGGCTATGCTGTTTCCGAGGGCTGTTGAAGGGATCATCGATTCCGAAACGCATGGAAAAAAAACGGATGGACAGTCTGGCAACGTGCTTGGCGTTCAAGCTGTGTAGGAGCCATGTCAACGGCTCGCCAAGTCTCGAACAATATATCTGCTCTCCTCTTGAGAATGCCTTTTGCCGTGTGTTTTTGCCGTTCGAAGGCCAGAACGCAGCAACAGCTCAGCGGCATGAACCGAAGGCCAGAACGCAGCAACAGCTCAGCGGCATGAACCAGGGTCATCATGGTCATCTGGCAGATGTGTTTGACGCTCAGATCTGAGCACAAGAGCGATTACATATATTAACAAGGCTTAATGAAACAGCCCTGTTCTGCTTCATCCCTGGTACCACTAAATCATGAGACACGGCAACCTAGGCCCAACAAGTTAGCGCCTCAGCCCCCAATCTTGGCCGCCCAACCAGGCGATCCCGAGCGGTTCAATGCTGCCCTGTGCGGTGCGACTGTTGCGAGTCTTTGCTGGCCATCCCAACTGCAGCAGATCTATGTTTGAAGTCCCTTGCCCCTCAAGTGGACCACTGCAAGCCCATACGCTGGCAACAGGATCAATGAAATCCACCTGATATCACTCCAGCCTTCTGGGCGGCTCTTGTCGCGGAGGGGGTGCTTGCCTCACAAGCGACCACCCAAACTAGCCCGCCCACCTGAACCCCACCCAAACCAGCCCGCAGCCGCGCCTGCCACGGGCCAAGAAGGAGCTTGGGGAAGGCGTACGCCTCAGGCGGGTTTCCCCCTTGCCGACTCCAGCGCTGGCACCCAATGGCCGCTGCCCGAAGGCGACGGCGACCAAATCAAAAGCAAAACTCGCCGTAGTCCTGCCCCGCACGCTGAGTTCCCGGCTCTCGCGAGGAGGCCACCGAAGAAGCCCTACTGGATGGCCTGTGGCGTCACCCAATCTTCGCCGCAGTGCATTGCTGGAAGCTCGCCGCGATCGTAGAGACGTTCGCTTTTGTTGGGGGCATGGAAACGCTCAAGGGCTACATGTGTGGGTCCCAGAGGCCTCGGTGGCGGCCGTGAGGCGGGGCGGCTGGGCGGCCTCGCGGGCAGAGGAGCCAAGGGCTCCAAGTTCTACTACTCTTTCTGGGGGTTGGGGGCCTTCATGGCACGTCTGACCGATGGCTGGAGCCGAGGAACAAAGCAAAAGGCAAAAGTTCAATTTGAGGAGAAGGAAAGCCTCAACGCTTTAAGGCGATCAGGCTTGGGAAGGTCTGACAATGGACCGCTGAGAGGCTGCCAGGATTTCTGCGACATGTCCGTCCCCCCACCCGATCTGGTTTACGGGAGTGAGCCAGCCTCGGAAAACATTTTGGTGGCTCCTCGAGTGCCAGGAACGTCGTTGACAACTGGACCCTTTCAAAGGCAATCAAAAGCCCTGCCCGGATTCCGACCATCATTCCATTCTTGAGCCCAACTGAAACCAGTGTGCCAAAACTCTCTCACGTCTGGGCGGTTGGTGGATCGCTTGGCGCCCTCATGCGTGGCCCCAACTTAAAAAAAAGAGATGCTGACATGCTCCGCCCCACCCACCAACATGGTCAAAAAGTGGGGCAACCCCGAAATGGCTTGGCCTGGCACATGACTTGCCCAGGACAAAATAAAATATGCGTCCATACCCTGGTGTGATGTTCGACTCAGAAAGGTGCGATCCATACCCTGGGGGTGTAATTCTGACCCATGCGCATTTGGTGCTCTCCATTTCGCCTGGACGGCGGCCGCGCCCGCTCTGCGCTGGGAGTGCGGGAGGCCGGCCGGGATCGGATTGGCGGGGTCCTGATCCGCGTTTCACGTCTCCCAACCAGACAAATCCATCGATCCACAGGCGTGATCTATGGAAACTGGTGCGAGAAATTGCCGTTTTCCGTCGAACCCACGCATTCATTCTGAGCTCAAGCTGCCCCTGAATGGCCCCTCAGGCTACCAGAGCCGATGCTCTCAACTCCCACACGAAAGGCCTCTTGCTGCGACTTAAAGGTTTCTTGGACGCGATGTGGGCCCCTCAGCCTAGTGCCCAACCTGAGCACCTTTCCACGAGGGCTCGCTCCAGTTTCGGCTCAGGTGGCCCGTTGAGTTGGCCAGCTTTGAACTCTCGGCCCGTTGATCCTGACGTTTCTGCTGTATGCCACTCACCTTTCTACTGTGTGCAACTCCCTCGGGCGAAGTTCGGGCAAAACTCCCCGCCTCTCCGCGCTCGGGCGGCGCATCTCCGCGCTCGGGCCGCGGCGTGCGCCGAAGCCGCGCTTCTCCTGGCACCGCCGGCAGCAGCCCAATCGACCCCCCATCCCAACTGAAAACAAGACTTGGCCAACAAATCCCACAAAAACATGGTCCAAACTGAGCAGTGGCGGGTGAAGGCGTGAGTCTGCACACCAAGCCGGAAAAAGAAACATGGTCCATCCGCTGTCCTTCTACGTGGAGCCCCCCGTGCTTGACCCTTCGACCAGCCCCACGTCTCGCATTTGGCGGCCTCCTCCAGCTTCTTCAGCTGAGCCTGCAGCCGTTCGGCCTGGCATGGGAGGCCTTCAGGCGCAAGCCAACGACTCACCCAGCGGCTGGTTGGGTTGGTGGTGGCGGCTTCTCCTTATGGCGGCTGGCTCTTGATGTTGCTTCCTTCCCATGGCGGCTTGGTTCTTGAGTTGTTCCCTCCCATGGCGGCTGGTTGGGTTGGTTGGTGGGATTTTTCTTGCCCATGGCGGCAGGTTGTTGGGTTTGTTCGTTTGTTCCTTCCCTTGTGGAAGGCGCGTTGGTTGCGGCCTTTCAGCTGGTCCCTCGAGGTGCGCGTCTCGCCTTCTGCCGCTCCGCGCGCAGCTCCGCCGCCTCCTTCTCCCGTGCACGCTTCTGGGCCAGCCTGGGCCAGGCATTGGATCGGAGAAGTGAGCGGTTGCCTTGTGACGCCTGGGGGAAGAGGAAACCAAAAAGAAGGAGGTTTGCCTCAAAATCGAAAACACCCTCCGTGTGCTTGGTTTCCTTTTCCAATTCGGAGGTCTTTTGAAGGGAACCCCAGGAAACAAACAGGAGGGGGTCCTTGAAGGTCCCGATCCAAGTTGTTGTTGAAGGGGTCGGTCGGCTGAGGCCGCCTTTTGCCAACACAGCCTAAGCTTAATCCGCATCCCCGAATCAGCTCACGTTTTCTGGCTTAGGGCTTGCACTCGCGTTGCTTGAGCTCGTCTTTGAGGCTCTTCACCTCGGCCTGAAGGGCAAGGCGAGGGCCGCCTCTTGATGAGGAACCGTGGAGGAAGGCCACTTGCGTGTTTCCATGGGATCAAATGGCCATGCGTCAAAACCCCGTACCCCCAGTGAACATCCCAATCCCCACTAAAATAGACTAAAATGGGTGGTGCACCTATCCCAAAATGGTACCATTGGTTTTGAACCATGGGATCAAATCCGAGAGAGCAAGAGAGACCGGGAGAAAACCCCCTTCGCTGCCCACCACGGGGACCTCTCCCAAATCCGCAGTCGTGACCGACCACTTCCCAGAGCCTTGGTGCGCGTAAGCTCGTTTCGGAGCCGCAGCACCTGCCAGAGGGGCCAAGGACCCTGAAGAAGCTGGGGGCCAGTGGGCAGCACGTGTAGCACTTGTTGGGTTCTCGGACCCACCCTAAGTATAGAGCTCCGAAACATGCACCAGAGCCGTCAAATAGACCCAGGGAGGCCCCCAATTCACACAAAGCGCCCGCCCCGCTTGCTTGGAACCGGCCAGCAGGGTTCCCTTTGAACGGCCTCGTCGTCGCGCACATGGTTCTGCTGTCCTGGGCCTCGGTCCCCACTTGACTCGCATGGGACGAAGCTGGCCAAGCATCTTCGACGGAACAGGCGGCCAAAAAAGAAACGCCGCACCATGAGAAGGCACAAATCACACAGACCACACAGGGATCCTTACATTAGACACCTGAACATTGCCTTGCAATTGTGGGTGTCCCTCTATTTTGGTGGAAAAAGCCATGTTGCAATTGGGCAAAATGTATCTTTTAAGGAGCCCTGTCACATAGGTCAGCTTCAGTCGCCTCCACAAAAGACAACCAACTGTTGCACATCTGGCTGCATTGGCCAGCTAGCTTCCGGATCGCAGTGTGGGTCAAATCGGACGTGCACTAACGGCAAACCCTGCTTCGTAATCCTCCCCGATTATGTATTACGGAGTCCTCTATGTCGTGATCCTGTCGGTCATTCTCGGCGCGTCCCTGTGGCACTTGTTGGCGGTCATTCCCTTCTTCAGATTGGCTTCCAGCCCAAGCACGCTTCCAGAATTGGGACCTCACCTGCTGCCAACCCCTTGTTGCCCGTGCCCCATCTGACCCCAGTCTGCTGGCTCAGACAAGGAGCAAAGTGGGTTTGGCGCCACCACGTCCAAGAACACCCGAGAATCCCCCAGCTTTTCAATCGCAAGTCCCCAGCATCGAGACATCGTAAATGAGCATTCTGCCTGGACCTCTTGGCTTGAGACGCAAACCGAGATCAAGTCAAGCGGGGCCACCAAAACGCAAATCGCCGCTGCAGCTCGTAGTTCCCGCACTCTTTCTAAGAACCGATGGAAGACCTCAATGAGCGCGTCTTCGCCTTTTGTGGGCAGGGTTTCGGTGTCGTTGTCTCCCAGGAAAATCACCACAGCATCCGGCTGCCCATCTGACGCCGAGGCCGCCTCGTTACCCAAAACTCGGGGGTATAAGTCATGGCACATCCGCGGAACAGTCCCAGGAATTCCACACCACGCCCGCGCCGCTCCGGGCGATGTTGTGGACGTCGGCGTCCAGCGCTGCGACCATCGCTGGCCATGCCGTCGGTTGCCGTCTTGGTGTGCAGGATTGACCTGAGCTCGCTGCTGGACCATGAAAAAAGAAACGAGGGCCACACTTTTCGAGTCACACTCGGCACTCGGCACAAACTCCGCCCTTCCCCCCCCTCGGCCATTTGACGAACACAAAGAAGACAAATTGTGTAAAATGCGAGTCCAACAAAAAAGAACAAAAAAACAAAAGGTATGGCAGGAACTAAATACAACAGCACATGATCATCATTGTAACATTGCATCCTTTGTCTGTTAGGACTGTTGGCTTTTCTTTGAGGCCACCAAAAAAGAGGTGCCAACTCCGAACAAGACAGACCCAAATGTGGCGATGGAGAGTTGGCCCAGTTGGCCCCAGAGGATGCCCATGTTGAGCACCGGATTGTTGGGTCCGAATGATTCGTGTCATGCTTTCCCTTGACAAAGCTCTGGGTTGCAGCTCTGGATTCATTTCTTTTCTGGAAAACCCGCCCTTTTCGTGGGTCCCCCAAAAACCAAAAAAAAAAAAGGGACACGCCGATCGGAACCT